ACGTAGTTTCGGATCCAAACTTAAACAAGGAGAATTTTTAAAATGAATTTTTATTAATCTGACAGATTTGCAACACTTTGAACGGCAGACGATCAAAGGAAGGTAATTTAATGGCGATTTCTGCCACAGGGTGCAAAATCTTTTAATAAGATTTCTTGAAAATTTAGATCGGTAAGTGAAAATAAATAAATATAATGGTCATAATTAAACCGAGCGTCTTTCCATTAAAAATTATTCTGGATCAACATATTTAAGCAATTCATATACTTTGTTCAAGAAGCTACTATTATTTAAGTGTTTTAAAATAACTAATTTTTCAATACGACATATATTTCCTTACCAGTTATAAGATTTAGCTCTTGCTACAATATCCCAGATGATAAAAGGTGTATTACCACCATTCTTCAATTGCCAGAAATATTTAGAGAGAGAAGTGCTGTTATTGTATTTTATATTGTCTAAAGTCATTCCATGATGATAGAAACAAAATTTACACAAATTTTCAGTGGAACCAAAATAAATTTTAACATCGAATGTATGCTAGCTCGGTATACAATATTATCAGTTATACATTAACCGTTTAGAGACAGATCATATCTTTTCAGCAGCTGCACTTTTTTTAAAAAAAATAACGTTGTCTTTGTTGGAAATATATTTGTTTAATATTATAGAAGACTGGAGGTTTATGCCTCGTTAAATTAGGAACACGTGCGTTTATTCCTGCTAGAAGGTCCACTACAAGAACATGGCGGACTCAGAGATTGAATGCGCCATAAAGAAGTGTAAAGAAAACCAACAAGACCGATATGTATATACCACAAATATATGTATTAAATAAAAAAATTTACAATGGACATGGACATTAACATTTGTGTTTGTGTGAACGTAAAGAGTTTGTAGTTTGGTGAATGTTCGTACGTACGTGTATGTGTGTATAATGTTCATGGCGTCAAATGGGAAGACACAATCTTCTGCGAGAGCTTACATTGTAATATAATATATAATGTATATAATCCATGTATATATATATATATATATATATATATATATATAATTAATATACATATACAAATGGGAAGACGCAATCTTCTGCGAGAGCTTACATTGTTTTATAATATATAATGTATATAATCCCATGTATATATATATATATATATATATATATAATTAATATACATATGTAATACATGAGCTTACATTGTAATATAATATATAATGTATATAATCCATGTATATATATATATATATATATATATATATATATATATAATTAATATACATATATAATACATGTATATATAACATATAAATATAATATATATATATTATATATATATAATTAATATACATATATAATACATGTATATATAACATATAAATATGTTCGCTGAAAATGAAGAAATAAAAAAGAGGACGTGGCAAGAAATCGCCCAGTATTTATAGTGTAGGGAGAGCGTGTCCTAGTGAACAGTTAGGAAATTAAGAAGGAGTTATCTCCGACAATATAATGCTGTTATGTTGGGATAGAGATCTGTCTATGTTATTAACGCAGCGATACTTGACTTTATTAAAAGATGGATTAAACCATCTGATGTTACGCTTACGGTGTTTCGGTTTAATTTTACCTTCTTTCTTTTTTGTTTTGTTTTGCTAAATACTCTAAATTTACTTTGCGACTGCTTAATTCTAACACCTTTATATATTTAATTATATTATTATCAAATACCTCCTTATTGCTGGAACTCGTACATTATCTAACTTGGACTGATTCATGTAAATTATCTAGAATTTTGTGGTGGTAGTCTGATTCTTTACTGACGTATCTATGGTGATAGAAATCTTTGGTATATGGTTTGCAATGACCATTATTCAAGTCTAAATTTACATCGAGAAGGTTGGTGGCAGTGGTAATATTTAGTTCGCGATCTTTTAAACATTTTAAGTTCCTTTCTCAATTGGTCTATATTTCGTGAACTTGTTTTACGGAGAAGAATTCCACCGTCATCTCTATAGAGTTCGGCGTCCTTAATGTCGAAATTAAATCTTAGTCGTCACAATAACAAGATTCCATCGAATTCACATGTCTCTGCATGCTCCCATAACAATATTAAATTCTGTGTTGCTTCGTTTGTTCCACAGATAAATATTATGGAATAACATAGGTTAATAATATAGGTTAATTTATAAGCACTTTAATCATTCACCGATATTTAATTTTTTTTAATTATAACTGCGTTAGTAACATCGATAAATCTGTATTGCAACATAAAAATATTATATTAAACAGATACATGTCCAACCGAACACAACAAAATTATTTTTAAATAAGTTCAACTAGCGAGAAAATATGATCTATCCCATAAACGGCCAATAAGTGGCTGATAATATTATATACCCACCTAACATAAATTCCGGTAACGATTTTATTTTGGTCCCACTGAAAATTATGGAAAATTTCGTTTCTACTATCATCGAGTGACTTTAGGCAATATAAAATACATAAACAGCATCGCTCTCTCCAAACATTTCTGGTAATTAAAGAATGGTAATTAATACACTCATTATTTTTTTCAATCTGTGGTGGGGTGGTTGTAGCGACTGCTATGCTTTTCCGCGCCCACAATTTATTCGTCTGTTATTGGCTAGTAAATCAATACTGCTTTTCTATAAGACAATTTAGCAATCGCAGTCATCACTTTGAATTTTTCGGTCGTGAACTTGCTCACATGTTTCTTTGATACAAAATCAGTAATTGGTCAAATTTTAACCAATCAAACATTTCATTACTAAATCAATTTATTTCCTTAATCATTACACTTCATTGCATGATTGTTTTGTATGTTATATTTCAATAAATATTTATTTGTTGATCCACAAGTGGAGTTTCGTTGTTTTTTCTTGAATCGTTAAATGTGCAATAGATATATGCGCTAAGAACACGTATCACACCATAAACAGCCAATAACTGGCTGATAATATTATATATATATATTATATTTATATGTTACATATACATGTATTATATATGTATATTAATTATATATATATAATATTTATATGTTATATATACATGTATTATATATGTATATTTATTATATATATATAATATTTATATGTTATATATACATGTATTATATATGTATATTAATTATATATATATAATATTTATATGTTATATATACATATATTATATATATATATATTATATATATATATATATATATTATATATATATATTATATATACATATTACATATGTATATTAATTATATATATATATATATATATATATATATATATATATATATATATATATATATATACATGGATTATATGTATAGGTATTATATAGATATATATTATATATGTGTGCGTTATTTCCATATATTTTAAATATATATGTATATATACATAAATATATGTGTATTAAGTATATATATATATATATATATATATATTATTCAAAATTTAATTTTTTTTTAGTCTTTCAAAAACACTATATCAACCATCCGTGTCTCACTTTTATTGCTTTTGAGATTTTATTGCTTTTGCTTTTTATTACTTTCAGTTATTTTTTTAAATTTTAAAGTCTGGAATTTATTTAGCACCTCGTCTTCCATGACGGTCCATGTTGTAGGTATATTACATTGACTAATTTGCCACAGGACCTTCTTCAATAAGCAATACGTTTCATAGTTTTATTAGGAATGGCTTTCATCTGAAATATAATTAGATTTATTAAACGTGTTAACTTGTTCATAGAATTAAGTTTCATTTATTTATTCTCTTTTGTTGGTTTAGTTTTATCAACATAGGACATAAATGCGGCAGCTAATTCAAGAGCCGTGTCGTATTTATTTCCTTTTTCCACAGACATACAAACTTAATTCTTTTTTCTTTCCAATGAATGAATAAAGGACGTTGATGTTTTTATGATAGTTTATTCACGCGGCAAATAGTGCAGAGTAAATGGGAACTTAAAAAAATACGAAGGTAGCATTTTATATTGCATATGCAGTCATTGTAGCTTGAATTCCTTAAATGTTGCTGACTTTATGAATGTTTGTCTGTGCGATTTAAATACATATATACATATATATAGTCATCCACAGACATAATGTTTCGTTGTATCACAGCTCCTCAGTGTGGCTAGAGATCCGATCGCTTCAAGCCGAGACCGAATGTATGTGCGCGCGTGTGTATACTATTTCAATGTGCTATTTTAATCATCTTTTAGCGTATATATACACACAGAAACTAGCTATAGGTTAAATAACATGGTGGACCGAGCACTCTAGCTTTGTGTGGCAATTAGTCTAAGACGAGGATAACTGTGACTTCCAAACTTTTGAGAAAGCAATGGGAAATCATTCTCTATATTTCCCATGGAATGATATTTTAGCTGTCCGCTACCACTTTTTTATCAACGTCGATTTTCGTGCAGAAAGCGGATCACATCTTCATAAATGTTTCTGAAAACCTGAACTTCTCATTGGACAATAAATATTAAAATTATCTCGTATATGTCCACGTGCATTGTTCTCAATAAGTAACACAAAACATATCAGGCTCCAGACTGAGTTTTGTAAGGCGCTTTCTGAGTGGTTAACAGAAGTTAAAAAAAACAATTTACTTGCTCACCACTACGTCCGAATAACGTCAACCTAGTTTTTGACCTGACGAAAAAACATTGCTGATGTAAGCCTGTCACGTGGTTAAAAAACATTTAAATTGAAGATACGAGCGAACCCAGTCAGTGAGAATTTACGACGACTAGAATTTGCTAAACGAGTTCGCGACGCTTGAACCATTACTACAGCGAAGTACCAAGTTAGGACGTCAAGTTCTTTAACATGAAATAACTTCACTGAAATTCAAACTACAATTTAAACGAAACATCTCACTCTCCAATTTCTACAACTTATAAAACTTATTCAATTCCGTTATTGAATCTTACGAAAAATCTTACGAAAATTCCGCGTCGAAGAGATATTAACATTATGGCTGAGCAAACTGATGCACACACAGAAGCCGCAATAACTGTGAATTTGCCAGCTTACAACAATGTCAATGTTCAAGTTTGGTTCACACAGTTAACTGCTATATTCAACGCCAAGAGGATATCTTCCCAAACTTCCCGATATGCCTACGTTGTAGAGAAGCTACCGGCGGAGGTAGCGATTGACGCTTCGGATCTCCTGGATGAGATGCCATCTGATAAACCTTATGATACCCTAAAAGAAGCTATACTCTATAAAACTGGTCAATCTGAGGAACAAAGGCTGCGTGACCTCTTTAATAACTTAAGCTTGGGACAAAGTAAACCGTCACAACTACTGCGTAAAATGCGGGTACTATTAGGAAGCAACACAATGTCTGACACGGTGTTAAGACAGCTTTGGCTGGACAAACTTCACGTGAACACCATCCAAATTTTGGCTTCCCTCCCAGAAGAAATTGAACTACAAAAACTAGCTGATAAAATAGCTGATAACAAGCCAGCTAGACCTGTGTATGCTGCGACCCAGAGACAACCAGTAGCATCGGTGGTTGACGCAGACGACATGCGTAAACTTAGTGACAGGTTAGCACAACTTTCAATTCAGGTACAGGATATTCAGAAGTCTATGCAACAACAGAAATGCAACTTCACTAATCGAACTCCTCCTGAATCACGACGACGTAGACACAGATCGTTGTCACAAAATAGGGAAAATTATCAGGACAACGTATGTGGTATCATGCTAACTTTGGCCACCAGGCACATAAATGCCGTAAACCTTGCAGATTTAGCGCGAATTTATTTGGCAGATGATCGACACAGCAAGCGGGAAACGACGTTCCCGGCAGCAAGTGAAGACGGCGTTCGCTACCGGGAAAAAAATATTAACCGTCTTTTTTATGTTAAGGACGCCAATTCTGGATACCTATTCTTGGTTGACACGGGCGCACAGGTTAGTGTGATTCCGCCTACAACAAACATGGCGACCAAAGCTACGTCATACAACCTCCAAGCTGCCAACGGTTCTCGAAGAGAAACCTATGGAGAAAAATCACTTACATTAAACCTGGGATTACGTAGATCGTTCACTTGGGTATTTACCATCGCGCAAGTAAAGTCACCAATTCTAGGAGCTGATTTCCTGGCCCATTTTAAACTCAACGTGAACATGTCTTCCCGGTCCTTAGAAGATAAACATAACGAGATTGCAATTAAGGGAATTACTTCAAAATTGACAACGGCAGGTATCAGTACAGCCCTACCCACTGCCAACGGTCTTCAACATTTATTACGGAAATATCCAGAAATTCTGACACCGTTCAACTATATGGAACCAATCTTACACAATGCGGAACACAGGATACAGACGACTGGTCTTCCCGTGCATTCATCTCCGCGGCGTTTACATCCTGATAAATATAAAAATGCTAAGATTGAGTTTCAGCATCTGTTGGACTTAGGGATAATCCGTCCATCATCCAGCCCATATGCTTGTCCTTTGCATATGGTGTCGAAATCGGAGGCTGGAGCTTGGAGACCATGCAGTGATTTTCGGCGACTTAATGCTCAAACAATCCCGGACAAATATCCGATCCCGCATCTACAAGATTTTGCAATAACGTTACAAGGAGCATCAATTTTTACGACGTTGGACTTGAGAAAGGCTTTTCATCAAATCCCTGTGGCAAAAGACGACATCCACAAAACTGCTGTGTGCGTTCGGTTTATTCGAGTTTACTAGAATGCTCTTCGGTCTAAGAAATGCAGCGCAGTCCTTCCAGCGACTTATAGACGAAGTACTGCGTGGCTTGCATTTCACATTCGCCTATATTGACGATGTTCTGATTGCGAGTAGGAACATAGAAGAACACACCCATCACGTGGAACAGGTTTTCCGGCGATTGAAGCACTTCGGACTTAAAATTAATCCTACTAAGTGTGAATTTGCTGTACCGAAGCTGATCTTTCTTGGTCATAAAATATATGGGAAAGGCATTACATCTGTCTCTCAAAAGGTCGAAGCTATTCAAAACTTCCCACAACCAACTACACTTCGACAGCTACGTAGATTTCTCGGTTTAGTAAACTATTACAGACAATTCATACCTCATTGTTCGCAAGTGCTGATTCCGTTGACAAACCTGCTACAAAATCAAAGAAAGAAGAACAGCAATATTATTCTAACTGACGATGCACTTTCAGCATTTAATAATGCCAAGGAAGCCGTAGCTAATTATACCAAACTATCTTACGTTTCGGATAGTGAAGAAGCGACACTTACTCTTACTACTGACGCATCTGCTGATAGTGTAGGAGCCGTATTACACCAGGAGAGTGATAACGTGAAGAAACCACTTTCATTCTTTTCCGTGAAATTAAATTCAGCACAACGCAAATATAGTGCTTTTTCACGTGAACTACTTGCTATATATCTATCTGTTCGTCATTTCCGACATCTGTTGGAGGGCAGGAATTTTATAATTTTCACTGACCACAAACCTTTAGTGTATGCCTTGCACTCTAAAACAGATAAATATAACCCTCGTGACATAAGACAGCTGGACTACATCGCACAGTTTACGTCCGATATTCGTCACATTAACGGGAACGACAACATTGTTGCTGACACCCTTTCTAGAGCTACAATGAATTCCGTCAAGTTACAGCCATTAGATTTTGAATGTTTAGCCAGAGAACAGCAGAGGGATGCCACCCTAGAAAAATTGAAAAGTGACACGTCACTGCTCATTGAGCAACGATCAATTCCTTTCAGTGCGGCACACTTGTTTTGTGACGTTAGCATTAAACATCCTAGACCCTACGTGCCCCCTATTATGCGCAGACAAATTTTCGACCATTTTCATTCTATGTCTCATCCAGGCCGTAAAGCGTCAACGAAACTTATTTCTAAACGATTTGTCTGCCCAAACATGTCTGCAGACATAAAACACTGGACGCAGACATGTATTAAATGCCAGAAGTCGAAAGTTCGACAACACACCAGATCTCCTCCTGGTCACTTTTCTGCACCGGATGGTCGATTTAAATATACACGTCGACCTCGTCGGTCCCTTAATGGAAGTAGACGGATACGAATACTTGTTGACAATAGTGGACCGTTTTCACGTTGGCCAGTGGTGGTACCCTGCGATCAACCACCGCCAGTGTTATCGCACAAACGATCTTACGTGAGTGGATAGCCACATTTGGATGCCCCTCTGTCATTACTACAGATTGTGGACCCCAATTCCAGTCTACCCTCTTCGCTGAAGTTACTAACCTGTTGGGTACTAAACATATAACAACTACAGCTTACCATCCGTGCGCAAACGGTTTGGTAGAAAGGTTTCACAGGCAACTAAAGGCAGCACTTACAGCTAGTGAAGACACACGATCGTGGATTGAGAGATTACCATTAGTAATGCTAGCACTGCGTAGTGTTGTCAAGGAAGATTTAAAATGCACCACAGCTGAGCTTGTTTTTGGGAGCCCACTTACACTCCCCGGTCAAATGATGGAAAAAGATGTGTCGACAAGACCATCTACATACTTCATTCAGAACTTGAAAGAACGCATGTCTAACCTCGTATTTACCCCAACGCGCACATCAAATAGAGCAATTTTCGTACCGAAAACTTTGGAAAACTGTGAGTTTGTATTTCTACGCAGAGATGCAGTTAAAAAAACCCTCACACCGACATACTCCGGTCCTTTCCAAGTTATTTCCCGTGCACCGAAATATTTTACCATCTTAATCAATAATAAAACAAACACTGTCAGCATTGACAGGTTGAAACCTGCTTTCATTGATGCCGATAAGCATTCTTCGACCTCGTTTGATCAAAATTCTTCCGCCCAGCAGAAGGATATTCAACCCGAAACTCCTCCAACAAAAACTACAACTAGAGCAGGCAGACATGTTCATTGGCCTACAAAATTTGCGAAGTATCATACATATTGAATTTTTTTTTTCTTTTCAAACTTTCAATTTGGGGGTGGAATATTTTAGCTGTCTGCTACCACTTTATCATCAACGTCGATTTTCGTCAGAAAGCGGATCACATCTTCATAAATGTTTCTGAAAACCTGAACTTCTCATTGGACAATAAATATTAAAATTATCTCGTATATGTCCACGTGCATTGTTCTCAATAAGTAACACAAAACATATCAGGCTCCAGACTGAGTTTTGTAAGGCGCTTTCTGAGTGGTTAACAGATGTTTAAAAAATACAATTTACCTGCTCACCACTACGTCCGAATAATGTCAACCTAGTTTTTGACCTGACGAAAAAACAATGCTGATGTAAGCCTGTCACGTGGTTAAAAAACATTTAAATTGAAGATACGAGCGAACCCAGTCAGTGAGAATTTACGACGACTAGAATTTGCTAAACGTGTTCACGACGCTTGAATCATTACTACAGCGAAGTACCAAGTTAAGACGTCAAGTTCTTTAACATGAAATAACTTCACTGAAATTCAAACTACAATTTAAACGAAACATCTCACTCACCAATTTCTACAACTTAAAACTTATTCAATTACGTTATTGAATCTTACGAAAAATAAATACGAACAATACATTCAACTACGAGCAACGAAAACAAACGGAACATTCACTTCTTCAAATTCTTTAAAGCTAAAAGTTTATCAACATATTTTCAGCTTTACAAGATTCTCTTTCAGTGAACATTTTGAACGACAAGTTAATTCAGTTTTTGTGAGCTCCGATAAAAAATGTTTTATTAGTAAAAACTTCAGCCCAGTCAAAGGGAAGTAACTCATATTATTGTTATTGTAAAACTGTTGTCATTTATAAATATAAATATAAATATTGTACCTGTTAAGAAAAATTATTTTCTTGTATTCTTTCTCTTGTTTGCTTTTTATTTTCTTACACATTCGTAAAGTAAAAAAATGTGTAGGTTGATTTATGCCGTCAATACCACTACAATATTAATTCACAGAGAATAAAGAAAAAGAATCTGTGGAGAGCCACGATCGTCTACGTCTTGATGGGGCATTGAAGTTAATATTTAAGAGAGATAGTTAAATTAAATAAAATTTTTATAATAAAATAAGTTTGAATAATTGTAATATTAAAAATAAAAAATTATAGTACTGTTAAATTTATCAATAAAAAGACATAATGCACATTATACAATTGCAGTCATGTTCTAGGTACTTCCACTTGCTCACTGAAAAACAGTATAGCATTTATGAAAAAGAGGCCCCAAACTTAATAAAAACAATTTTTTATCGTCAAAATGTTTATGTTATTATTAAGAAGAAAGGTCAAAGTATTTTTTTAATTATTTTATTAATTTTTTTTTAATCCTTTCTAGCATGTTCGAAATTTCGGTTAAAAGTATTTTTTTTTTTACGTCAGCGGTTGATGTCGCGAAACGTAATTTTAAAATTTTTTTTTTTATATCTTTTTTCCGGTGAAAAAGACATTGATTTGGAAAATCTTGCAAAAATCAATTAATTGTCAAATTTTAATGAAACTTTCAGGACTTATTTAGTAATGAACTTAAATTATTTTTTAATTTTTTTGTTTTAGAAAATCTTGGTAATTTTTTTTTTACATATGTTACGCCCACCTACTTAATTTCATGAAATTTCGCGAAATTAAATTTTATCTTCAGAATTATTTTTATTAGTTAAAATTAGGACTCCTTGGAGAATGTAAAACATTCATTTTTTTTTTTTTCAAACTTTTACTGTTTATACTGCTCCGAATGGTAAACTAAAAAATGTTATCCAACTATGACATTATAATCAGAAAATCTTTTAATTGTTTTTGTAAATAAATTATATTAAGGACATTATTGACTCAAGAAAAAAATCAATAAAGAATTTTTACAAGAATTTTTCATTTTTTAAAATTTTAATTATAATAATTTATAATAATTTTAAAACCAGTATCTGTCTATATTTCTGAGATGATATATTATGTACATTATTTACATTACTCGGACTACTGTCCTCATCTTTGTCGCCATATTTATTACAACGTTTCGGCTGTTGTACGCCCCGACCTTCTTCAGGTGGTTGGAATGTCGAACTTAACCCTTTATTTCGCTCACTGGGGTAGACTGTTCTAGAGTCCACGCGCGATGTTTAAGTTTAATGGATGTCAGTTATCAGTTATCTCCTGTTAATTCCCCTCTCCAAGTTCTCCACCACCTTAACCAGGTATTATTGACTCTTTGGGTCCTGTCACTGGATCTAACTAACGCCTTTATGTGTCCTTGAGGATACATGTCACAGTGTATAAGGGAAAATAAAAGATTCAGTCTAAAAGTGGCATTATTATGAAACGGTAACATGCTGTAAGAGTTGTACCCCATTTTCAGAGAAATTTGCTTGTCTGGAATTCCTTATTCATTGCTTGTTTACGTCTCAACTTTAAAATAAAAAAAAAAACTATTAACAAATATAAGTTAATAATAAATAAAATCCCATAACATTTCATAAATTATTGAGTTACCTCTATCATGGTATTTCAACCCAGTTATTATATTTTTAAATTAATCTAAGAAATTTTTATTTTTTCAGAAAGCATTATCAAACGTAACTAAAAGTCAATAAAATATTAGATAATTGCTGAAAATATGTTAATTTGTAAAAGTTACTGAGTAGTTAAAACCCCAAAAATGTGTTCACTTAGATTTCCTAAATTTATATCAATTCTGGTCATCCGTACTAGCTGTCAGAATCTTGGAACTAATTGGAAAAAAAATCGGACCCGATGTTAAGAAATGCTTGTATACTATTTTAATGCTACAAGTATATTAGATTAATTTAACTTTAAATTTGCTAATTTTACTCAAATAACGTTTCACATATATATATTTTATTTTTGGAAGATTTTTAAAACCGATAATTAAATTTTATTTTAAAATGCAAGAAATGGCCGCCATTAAGCAGATTTTTTGAAAGAGAAAATATTTGACATTCCAATTTATATAATTTTTAGTTGAAATACACCAGGGTATTTTACCTACTAGGAATAGTCAATTTATCTTTCAATTAAAGCTAAAAAGAAATCTTCAAGAATGCATTTTCATTTTTAAAAATACATTTTAAACCTTAGATATCGAAAATCTTAGCGAAAAAAGTGGAGGTACCTACGTTACACTTTGTTTTTTATACTCAAATGAAATAAGTTCGGCAAACTTTGTAGGTAAACATTATTTTAAAAGAAATAATAACGTAACATTTTAGACTGTATATGCAACATTCGTAAACTGAAATTAAACGTACCTTTTAAAATTTTCTCGACTCTATAGATGTTTGTCTCTAGTATTTAATATATATATGTGTGTGTGTGTGTGTGTGTGTGTGTGTGTGTGTTTTTTTGTTTTTGTTTTTTTTTCTTAAATACAATTTCAACCAAGCCTGTATCGATTTTTACTGATCTTTTTACCTTTAGATGTGGATTGTTTTATTGCCTCTCAATTATTTTCTTTTTTAATATTTAAGATAAAATTATTTCTCACGCGATGAGACATGTATGTCTCCAATGGTATAGACTTTTTTTTTCTCTCAGGATGAAGAGTTCATCACGAGAAACCCGGAAAAGAAAAATATCGAAATTGTCAGCCCTTTAGTCAAACCTGAGACGAATGTCGCTGAGAGTAAATTGGAATTAATATACAAAATAAATGATGACCCTTCTTGGTACATGTGTATTTTGTTGGGTTTTCAGGTAAGTGAATGTCTCTATTGCATTGTAATCATTCATTCTCGTTCTCTCCTTCTCCTTTCTCCCTCTCTTATATGATTTTCAAGTAAAAACCGAAATTTACACGACTTTTTCTTAATGACTTCATAAGATCTTTGATGCGCGCTACTCGTTTAATTCAATGTGCTTTTTAAACGAAGTAAGATTTCTTTTGTAATGGAAAAAGGTCTTAAAACTTTTATTGTAACAAACAATTGGGATTAATTACAGAAAATAAAAACTGTTTTTCTCAATGATAATATTAATCACTTCATAAGAGCTTTTCCTCTCATGGGTATGACGATAAATCACATCCGTATCCTGGGTAAGACGATAAACTACATCCGACAGCAAGGTATTTGATCAGGCGGTTTTGAGGCGCGTGAAACCACCTTTTGTAGTATTCCCAGGTCTACCCTCACCCGAGGTGGTGGCACCTGTCACTCCTAGCTATGGGCAAATATTTAACCCCACAAAACCTCCACCACCAAAAAACGTCAAAACACTATGAAAGTATAAAAATAAGTTTTAATACCAGCAATAATATTTTGGAAAAATCTTACTAGCAGTACATTTCTGGAAAAAATATTACCAATAATAAAAATCTTGTTGGCATTAAATAACCAATTGAAGTTGATATGTCGAGAACCAAACCAAACCAAACCAAACCAAACCAAGCCAAATCAAACCAAACCAAACTAAACCAAACCAAATCAAATCAAATCAAACCAATCAGAAGTTCTTTGATGCGTGCTACTCGTTTAATTCAATGTGCTTTTTAAACGATTTCTTTTGTAATGGAAAAAAGTCTTAACACTATTATTGTAACAAACGACTGGGATTAATTACAGAAAATAAAAACTGTTTTGTATTCTTGGGACATAGATATGACATTAGGACCAAAAGAGTCAGTTCTCTTTAATTCATTATCCCCGTTTTCAATGTATTATAATTAGGATGCAACTGATAGTGCATGCCTAGATTCATTTGAAAATTAATGTCTAAAAGAGAAGGCACTCTAATCGAAAAGAAAGCAAGAACTGGCTACATTCCTTATCTTCAATTGTATCTTCTTAAAAGTAACTTATTTCAAAGAATGGACTTAAATAACTTTTAAAATAAATAATAAAGTAGGGGGTGATGAAAGTTTACGCTTCGATCTACATCTCGATATCAGTATTCGAGAGAAGGTGAATTTTGTAGTACAGAAAGGGCACATGACAGCAATACTAACGAAAAATGGACAAAATGCGGATCAGTTCAGAAGTAGAATAAAACCCGAAGATATAGAAATGAACGAAGAATCTGAAGGTGAAGAATATGAAGAGGAGGATGGGACTAATGAATACAGTAGTAAAAATGAACAATCTATGAATGTTAATGACGAGGAGTCGGAAGAGGAAAATGAACTCAGACCTAGGTCACTTATAAGAAGAAATCAAGATAGACCACAAGAAAGTCAGTTTAGATTCCCAAGATAATAATGAGAACAAGTCAAAGATCAACGAAAGACATAAGGCCATTTCGGTTCAGGGAGATTTAATATTGTATGTAAATGAGGTACTGCTATAAAAACAGTAGACCACAGCGAATGCCAGTCGAGCTACCATCTGTTGATCTGATAACATCTATTCCAGAAAGTACTTCATAACATTCTATTTAATCATTTCACCATAAGCAAGGCAATAAAGCCACTAAGACGTAAGGACTTATTGTGTGTGAAATAATGTAAAAAATCATTACTAAAGAGCGAGAACAATAAAATAACAGGAATTCAGAAGACAAAAGGTAAGGATTGGCATTGCATTTAAATTGTTCAAAATAAAAATTGACTGGAAAGTAAGAGGCCAGAAGGGAGTTTATAAATGCTACACACATTCACTCAAAATACTGACGTTTCATATTAATATTTGCAGCACTACTTGACAGCATTCGGTAGCAACCTGATCGTTCCAATTGTTGCAGCAAACTCGGCGTTTTGTATGAATGGTGACAGTGTTGGAATTGGTGAGCTAATTTCTACCACTTTTTTTGTATCTGGATTTAGCACGCTGCTTCAAACTACTTTTGGATGTCGGTAAGTGACAAGAACAATATCAAAGTTTGAATAATTTGAACGGGATTTGGTCAGAAAATGATTTTGATCTCTGCGATTTGTAAATTTGAATACTTCCCGCAAATATCTTATTTGCCAGTAGTAATAACATACATCATTTTTTTCTTTTCTTTTGTTTCATTTATTCACTTCAAAAACTAATCTTGGTGGATTTTCTTGCGATCTGATCTGAAATTCTAATCTGAATAATTTTGTTAACAGAACGCTTAAAGATTTAACAAATAAAATCCTTTCAAAACCACTCATCTTTTTCCCACATTTCTGTATCAGTTAATGCTGACTAATCATCTTGTAAACATCTAAACAGAATAATTCACTGGAACAAAAATATTTCTTGCTGATTTCACCACCTCGATATCAAGCGGCTATGACTCATCTGCATAAATGACACCGTGTTTCTATTCTTTTTTTTTACTTTTTTATGAGTCTATCTTTCATCTTCTTGCTGCTTTTGGTCACACCCGTCTATATTTAAATAATTGTGGGTTAGAATCTGATACCTGGTCATTGCTACTTACTTCAATAGTATAGGCTTTTTCGTTGCCGGGCGGTAAAAATTGAATATGTGCTCTTGGGAACACAAAAATTCAGATGCAAACTGGAATAGCGAAGATAACTTCCAGAAGCTAAACAAAATCAGGGCAAAATGTAACACGATTGGTAAGTAAAAAAATAACACTGAAAAAGCTTCATCTAAAACAAAGACTTTAATTCAAGGATCCTTTTTCTTTTCTTGTCCATATATGAAGCAGATAATTAAGAAAGATCGTAAAAACTGATTCGAAACTAGTTATTATCTTAAAAAAATATATTAGCATCTCTATCAAACCAAAGGAAACATTGTTAATAAAATATTACTCAGTAATGAATTACATAGTGCATATTCTGAAGTCATAAATATAAAATTTAATTATGTAATTTTTATATATATATATATATATATTTCTAACCACTCTTTTTTTTTTTCTCTCTCTACACACACACACACACACACATCGATCATTTTGGGACATCCGATTCAAATCCAATGTAGCTGATTTTTGTCTCTGTTTTTCGCAAACTGCAAGGAATTTTCACGAAAATCATGTTGAGCATTAGTTTTATCAACAGTTATTAGTTGCTGACCTTTTTCTTCAATATCGGTATCAATTATGGGAAAAAATCGATAACATTTTGCCACTTTTGACTTTCAATTCAAATCCAGTCAAGCTGGTTTTTGGCTTTATTTTTCGCAAATGGCGAAGAATTTCCACCAAAATTACGTTGAGCATTGTTTTTACCAATAGTTATGAGGTACTGACATTCATTTTCAATATCGATATCAATTACTGGAAAAATCGATACAATCGATCACTTTGGGACATCCGATTCAAGTCCAGTCTAGCTGATTTTTGGCTATATTTTTCGCGAATAATTTTCAGCAAAATTCCCGTTGAGCATAGTATTTACCGACAGTATTGAGGTGCTGACTTTCATTTTCACTATCGGTTTCAATTATCGGATAAAAATCGATGAAATCATACCCCTTTTGATTTCCCATTCAAATCGAGTTTACCTGAATTTGGCGATGTTTTTTCGCAACTTGCTTGGGATTTTGATTAACGTTATCGGCTTTAGTCGTGACAATTAAAAACTTTTGCCTTATGAGCTCCTTTGTGACCAACTAATACCTGAGGGAAGTCGATACAATCATGTCTTCATCGGAATTTGCGAATACACCAATCAAATGTATGTTCAACTGAGACGTCTACACTACAGACTCTACAGCTGACTGTTATTCACACACGCGTGACCATGCTTCACATAGCGGTATCTTATTGCCTGATTGCAGTAGACGGTCACTGATTGGCACAACCGATTGGCCAGTAATACTTCGCATTTGAACTTGCTGTGCACAGCTGTGGGACGAAGGTCTCACTTCTGCTTCTGTTACGCCGCCATCCGCTTGATACGATAGACTCCTTCAACTGATCATTTCTCCTACCGCAAGTTGTTTCTTACGTTTTTGTTTTCCGTTTGTCTGTTTAACTAAATTTTTCCAACTACCATAAACAATTTATTCAGGTGTTTTACTTAAATACCTGCCTTCCCGATTCTGGCTCACGCTTTACGATACTAAGTTAGACTTTGTACTCCTGCAATTGAGAAACCCTAATCAACCACTACTAGCATGACTTTTCCCCATGCCGCCAAAAAGAAGAGTACGTCTTAGCCTTCGGTCTGCAATAGCGTCCGTTTGAGGGCAAAAAGGGCCCGCGAGTCCCAGGAGCAGACTACAATGCGACTGTCACAGGTCGCTCAATGCAGCGCCCTCATGCAGGCCACGCAGGCCACGCGTGCCACATGCTTGGCTGGGAAAGCTGCCTACAGGGCTTCGTTGCGATCAAGGTTCAAGAACGGTCGAGAATGAACGCACAGGCTGCAGCAACCACCTCTCCATCTCGGGACTCATCATCAACGTCTTCATAACGTAAGAAACGCTGTTGCCACTGCGAAATCAAGGGCAATAGAACACTTGACCGCATTCGCGCCCGTCAATCCAGGGACGCTGCTGCAACAGCGACCGCTAGGGCTGCTGAGACACCGCTACGTAGGTCTGTTCGAAATGCTAGGAATGCTGCCACCACTGACAGGTCGAAGGCAGCTGAAACATTTGACCGCAGGTGCGCCCGTCAATCCTGGGACGCTGCTGCAACAGCTAGACCGAGGGAGTCCGAGACAAAACTGAAGCGGACAACCCGCAATGCTCGCAATGCTGCGGCCACTTTTGCTGCCAGAAACACCTAGGTTCCACAGACAAGGGCAAACAGACTTTCAAGGGCTGCTACAAACATGGACGCTGTGCGCTTATCTCCCCAAGCTTGCCGCATACGCCTCGACGGCGACATTCAGCGCCTTGCGGCCGCCGGTAATATTACCTATCCCAGTAGCTCTTTTTGGTCTTTCTTGGCTTTCAATTATGACCCCGGCATTAACTTAACTACGCGTGACGAAATCAATGTAGGGTCCATGACCTGCGTTTGCCAATTCTGCAATGCCCTCAAGTGGGCCGGGCATCCTTCCGGTCTGTGCTGTTCCTCCGGCAAAGTTCGACTGCCACCTCTGCATGAACCACCTACCCCGCTGAGGGGACTAATAGCCGGCTCCCATCCCGACTCCAACCACTTCCTTAAACCAATTAGGCAATACAACAACTCCTTTCAAATGACCTCATTTGGGGCTCAGGTGGTTCGAGAAGAGGGTTGAATGCCCACTTTCAAAGTACAGGGGCAGGTATACCACCGCATTAGGTCTCTGCTGTCTGAGGAGACCTCTACGCCTAAATTCCTTCAACTCTACTTTATTGCAGACTACAACCTACAGGCCTAAACCCGGATTGGTATTTTGCCGCCGTCGAGAAGAGTTCCTCGCAGGGGCGTCATACTACTACTTCGGGCCATGCTTCACGAGGTTAATGGCTACATTCGCAGTTTCATATATGCTTTGGAAAATGCTCCCTTTCCTAACTTCAGCATTGTAAGTGACACCGACAAATGGCCTCATGATAAACACGAACGCCGCTACAATGCTCCTGCGTGCAACGAAGTGGCCGCTATTATATATGGGGATCAAGACCGTACTCGGGATATTGTCCTCAAATCAAGAGGCGGCGCTCTTCGCAAGATTTCAAAGACCCATCGACCATATGACGCATTGCAGTACCCTTTACTTTTCCCTTATGGTAAGATGGCTACCACTTCGGCGTTCCCCTTCATACTCCGGGTAGTCAACCTACAACGTCTTCCAAAGCCTTATCGTGCAAGGCCTTCTACTCATACCGGTTCATAGTTAAGGATGGAGACTTCAACCTGCTTCATAGATGCAGGGAGATTTTCCACCAGTTTGCGGTTGACATGGCTGCTAACATGAAATCGGGGAGGCTTTGTTTTATACGGAATCATCAGGAACAGCTGTGCTCAGACTCCTACGTACACTTATGCGACAGCCTTCGAAATGAAGTCAATCCCCGTGACGTAGGGAAGCTGTCCATTCTGCTTTCTACCTACACTGGGGGGGGGGGGGTATTACATGCATGAATGCACGCAGGACGCTATGACATACGTTAGGCAATATGGGCGGCCAGACTTATTTATAACGTTTACCTGCAACCCCAAATGGGTTGAGATAATGCGTGAACTCCTACCCGGACAGGATTACACTCACATTACCGCCCGCGTATTCCGCTTAAAACTGGGAAAACCTATGGACTTAATAGTGAAGGGGTGAGTCCTACAGTAAAAACGCGACCACTATTTTACATTGCCAGAATTAAAAATCTTTACCGATTATGAACGGGTGGCAGTCTTCGGGTAAGTACGGAGCAGCAACACAGTAGCCAGCTATTGCAACCGGTTGCCCTTGATCTGATTGATTTTGCTATCAGTGAGATTCCCGGCCTATCAGTGACCCCAACAACTGCGGATACGTGCGTAAGTTCAATAATTCAAACCCCAAAGCAATTTAACTACATAAAACCCCGAGCAACGCCGGGCTTTACTGCTATATATATATATAACCTAGTGAGCCAGAACCTACCTACCATAGTTTCACCAAACGGATCTCTCAGGGTACTACACCGCCAGAGTATAGGTATTAAAATAATACATATACATATACATATATATATATATATATATATATATATATATATATATATATATATATATTATTATTATTATTATTATTATTATTATACAAGTTTTTGAAGGGTAATTTTAAGTTGATGCAAGGTGATAGAGAGAGGTTGAGGAGGAGGAAGACAACGACAGATATGATTGAAATTTCCAATTAGATTAAGATTACAAACAACATTACTAAACAACATTGCTCTTATTATTATTATTATTATTATTATTATTATTATTATTATTATTATTTGTTATGGTCCAAGTTCCTTGTACCACGGTGATGGTGCAAGGTTAGAACCAATGAAAGAATAACACGAACACACGTATGGAATACAAAGATATATTACAACAGAAATATAATATAAAGAAGTAGAAGTATTAGTAATGACTATCAGATTTGGTTAGAGTGAACTATGTTGTGTCGACAAGTATCACTATTCCAATGCCCTTACGATATGCTCTCAATTATCTCTCCTCGTCTTACAATCTCCATCATACCTCTTGAAAGGCGCAGTATTTATAATGTCAGGAATAGTCCATTATTATTATGGGTAAGTTCCCATAACATTATTATTATTACTATTATTATTATTTATTATGTTTAATATTATTCTTTCGATATTTTCTTTTATACTAATTGAAATTTTTAAGTTGTTTTAAATTTTAGATACTAAATTTCAACTTTATTTTTTCCTTTTAACTATTAGTTGATATTAATAATATTAATAATATTAATATTTTTATTTTTTTTATATTCATATTCTTTTTCTATTTTATTTTATTTTCTTGGTAATCTTTAAAATAATGTGAAGCGTTAACTGTAAATTATATTAATCTGCATTTTTAAATTAACCACAATATGCCTATATGATAATTTATTCTTCCTTTTCTTCTTTCTCCCCTTTCCCTCCACTTCTGTTTCCCTATTTGTTTTCTTTTATATCTTATCTCTTTTCTTCCCCTTTCTATGTCTTTTTTCTTTTCTTTTTCCTGTGAAAGGACTTAAATAGGTCAAATGTCTGACACCTTACCTTATCACCCTTACTCTTAAGTACCTTAATAAAGATAGATTTAAAAAATATTCTTATCTCTCCCTTCCCTCTCTGATTTCAATCATATCTGTCGTCGTCCCCCACCTCCTCTCTCTCTATCACTTTACATCAACTTAAAACTACTCCTCAAAAACTTGTATAAAAATAATAATATGTAAATTTTTAAACCATTTTCTTTTATACTTGGAAATGTGATCTGAGGAACCAGGAAAAACCCCATTCCTGGAGAAATAAAAAATATTCAATGGGCGCTTAAGGTTTCTGTTGTTTAATTAAACTAATATTCGCTCGCTCTATTTTTACATTGAGCTCTCTGGATTACATCCTCCTTGGGATTATCCACATGGATTACCAAACATTTTATTACCTAACTATATATATATATATATATATATATATATATATATATATATATATATATATATGATAAAATATAGTTTTAAGGCATGCTATATTTATGAGTTAAAGTTTTCAATATCAGAGATAAAGTGTATGTAAATATAAAAGTGGACATTAAAGTCAACACCCAGAGGCGACTGTCTGTTTCTTGCTAAACACAATGGTCAGGTCATGTCGACTCTGGGTGTTGATTTTAATGTCCACTTATATATATATATATATGACCACTCGTCGCCGAGTGGTGAGAAATTTCGCTTTACGACCATGATAGCCGGGCTCGAATCTTATCATGATTGATTTGTCAGGAAAGTGACTTCATGATGTTATCGGCCTGTGGAGACGATCCCAGCGTGAGACACCTTCAGAAAGTGCCTGAAAATCATACTATGGATTGACTCAAGCTCTGTGAGTGAAATTTGGTAGTTGAAACAATCTGGAAGCCGACGATGGTTGTGCTAGCACGAAATCCCAAGTCATCGTGACCGAGGGTCTGAGCATACTTGCCATGTTCAAATTGTTGATCACGCTAGATAACACGCTCTCTCCCAGTAACTGTAACTAAGGTTGGCTCAGCATAGTAGCAGCATATACCACAGGTGGGTCTGTGGGTGCTGAACAAACACAAAAGTACCTGAGCAGACGTCTGCCATAGGGATTGACTAGCTACTCTATTAGGCAGACATACTCGGATACTAATGACCAATCATTATATATGTGAGAAAAAATGTGTAACACGCGAAGAAAAGAAATAATCTTCAGACACATGTCTACAAATTTAAATATATTATTCTGTATAAAAAATTATTTCTTTTAAGTTTAAAGGAACAATATAAAGTTCCTCGCAAACAAAAATTTCATACGAATTTTTATTTACAACACAAAAGAAATGAATTGTGAATTATGCGTTTTCTTTATGCAAATAATGATACAAATATACAGATTTGATCTTATTTCCTTAACTTACGGATGCCCATATCTGAAGCAGACAATTAAGAAAGATCAGAAAAACTGACGTGACACTAGTTATTATATTGATAATCATATTAGCATCTCTATCAAATCAAATTAAACATTGTCAATAAAATATTACCCATAACGGATTACATAGTCCAGCATCGTAATATCCGGCCTCCAATTCGCCATTTTCATGACGGTAAAGCATGATTGTATTTATTTGTTTATTTACACTGCTGTTCTTTTCTAATCTCTCACTTGGCAAAATATTGGTTTCTGTAGAAAATAGAAAATGTTACAGTAATTTTTAGGAAGGCTGTACCATTTTGGTTTCCCTTCTGGGCTAAAAGATCACATTTTATATTCAACCGAGAAAATTCACAAGGGTTATTGTCTTATCAATGCTAAACAGCGATTATACACGGCAATTTAATGTAAATTTTTCATTCATTTTTTTGTTTTTCTTTTATTTGTCTAGTCTTCCAATTATGCAAGGTGCAAGTGTTTCTTTTCTCGCGCCCGCTATAACATTATTTTCGTTGCAAAAATGGCAATGCCCTTACACAAAAGGTAAGTATTAATTTATTTTCTTTTTTTTTTTTTTTTTTTTCGCATGTGTGCAAAAGGGCATTTTATATCGTAGGTAGGTTTGCGTATCGTCCGGTTGACATTCCTCCCCGGTTTCTTGAACAGGAGTAAAGGTCTATATCTTGTTTCCAATTTAGGATTGGTTTACTGATTCCTTCTAAAGTTTTCTCCTTCTCTTTCACTCCCAGTTCTCTCTTGTGACTTAGTGGTATTATCGCCTTGCTTCGGGTGAATTGATTTTTAAAAAATACGGGAAATAGATTCAAATAACTATAATAAAATAGGATGTTAAATTTGTTTGAAAAATTGTAGTTTTGTTACCCGAAATAAAAATCTTAAAGTTATTTTTAACAATTCCCTTCATTATAGCATGTCCTTATCACGTGATTGTGAAGAATTTCGAGTTTCTTTTGCATCTTCCGCTCTTGGTAACTTTGGCCCAAGATTTATTGCCTCGAATGACTGATGAGTTATCTGTTTTTGTCGCAACATCTAGTTTTTCATCTATCGACAAGGGCAGTGAGGCATTGATTTTTTAATGAAAACAGTTTGTTTTGTTTATTTTTGTTTATTTTTGTTTTTTTGTTTTTTTCAATGATTTTATATGAACTTCAGTGATTTGGCTGAGATGGATATTTGATAGCGTTATCTATTAACACCTGATTTTAATTTTAATATAGGAATACGCATATTGTATACTTGGTGTTTCTGATTGATGCTAGTTGTCTTTGATACCTTGGAACAGTTTTTTAATAAAAGATTGCGTATCCAAGTAATTTTCTGTATTTTTTATCATCAACTCTCCCGGAAGATGGGGTAGCAAAATTAACTAATTCAGACGATAAAGTTTTTAAATGACTTTTTAATAGTTACAAGCAAACCAAATACAAGAAACAAATGTTACAACCAGAACCATTTTCAGTGAAAACATTTAATCATAGTTTTGAGTGAGATAACGTCATCCTGAATTTTGTCGTGTTAAAATATTTGGTAAGATTTGTAAATAAATCAAAATGGCTGTCTCAACCAAAAGATATCAAGTTTCGTTTTTGATACGTCTTTGAAAGAACAATAGAAACATTTAATCATTCCGTTTGATTTTGACTGAGAAGACGTCGTTCAGCGTTTTTTCCCGTAAAAATATTTGGTAAGATTTGTAAATAAATCAAAATGGCTGTCTCATCTGCTTGACGTAGTGGTAAAGAATATGTAATCTATTCTATAATAAAAAGTATTCATCTGTGTGTATGTGTGTCCGGCTGAAACTAGAAAGCTAAAATATTTAGACCCTTAAAACCATATATATTTTCATTCAGTATGTTCTAAGGAAGATTTCATAAAGAAATTAGAAAGTGAAGATATTTATAAATGAAAACATCTAATAATTAGCATTAAAAAAACGTAGCAAAAATACGCCGATATTTCAAGGTTTTCAAATTAAAACGGACGTCATTCAATTATTTTTTAAATAAACCTTGGCAAAATTAATGAATAAACAATGAAAGAATTGTAGAAAATTCCGCAATTTTTGCCTAATAAAAATGAGTTTTTTAACGTTATTATTGCTAAATTATTTATTTTATATAACACAAATATAAAAATGTTAAATCTTTAACAACATACATCAAACAAGTTTATATTTATTTACAATTGCATAAACCCTACAGCACGAAAATATTTCTTTTTAATAAGCAGTAGAAAAACATTAAAATTAAAAGAATACTCTGACAATCATTTTATTTAATAAAGGGTTTATTGGTTTTAAAATCAAACATTTTCTTTAAAGACAAGAAGCTTTTTCATTTAGAACAATAGTAAGCGTAACAATTATTTTTTTTTTTTTAAATTGCATACATTTAACTCCAAGATTTGTTTAAAAAATAAATAAGTGTTATCATTAATTTAAAAATCACAATGAAGTAAAAATTGTATTTTTTTATTATTGCTAAATTATTGAGATATTATTAAATACTAAGATATTTTAGAACTGCATTCAGTTAAAAAAAGAATGTTTAAGGGTTTATGTTTTTTTTTTCATTTTTCTGTGTTTAAATTCATTTGTTTTTCGAAAAAAAACAAGGAAAATATTTTATAAAAGATAACTGTAAATTAATAACATATTTTGGAACAAGGACAACTTTGTAATTAGCGGTAGAAAATGTGTTGTCTCCTATTAAGTATAGAACATGCAGCATAAAAACTGAAAGTCAGTAGTCGTCTGCTCCAGCAAAACAACAGATATGTGAATTTTATCTACAATGACAACACAACAAAATACATAATTCCCGGTGGAAATGTTTGGTTATGGATTTTTACTTGCCTTGATACACTGATGTATTTCCCGAGAGTATGTGTTACTTCTTTTGTTTTTTAAACCATTTCATCGCAAATAAGTCAATGAAGCCAATAAGGTTTACAGTGTGTGAGAGAATATGAGAAAGAAAAAAGCTATTGATGAGAGAGAAAAAAGAAAAGGAATTAAGTAGACAGACGATAACCATTGACATTGCATTAAAATTATTGAAGATCGAAGTTGACTGGAAACAAAGACGGAAGAGAGTTTCACAAATGAGAAATGCGATAGAAGAAACCTTTAGTAACGAACTTACGGTTACATCTAGACATTTTCATTGTAAAATGATGAGATCCTGCCGCCAATCTAGTGCTTTACTTAAATTCATAAAGTCTAGGAAAGTTTATCAGAACAATTACGATGAAAGTATTTATAGAAAAGGCACAGGGAAATTACGTTACACAATGTGAGAGTGACTGAAGAAGAGATATCTGCTCAGGACCAATAACATTGCAGATTTTTCTTTGAATGTTATCAAGAATCTCTAAATACATAGCAGAAGCACCAGACCAGATCAGATATGGTAGCAATGCATGGACGAATATTAGACTTATAAATATGTGAGATAGATTCGGGAGAGAAAAAAATGTCTAGCATGACATAAGGAACCAACTTTCTTAGCTTCTGAGCTAGAAAATGGTTCAACATAATCTTTCCACATCATGTAAGGGAAAATCCTTAGTCTGAGTAGGCTCAATGATTCACTCTCCTGGAGGTTAGCATCAGTCCTTTTGGCTTTCTATCAGCAAAAAAAAAAAAGAGTTCTCTGTGGCGATTACAAGAAAGAAGTTTTGTTTTGAGGCAGTTAAAATTAACAACCCTTTCTTACTCCAGTTAAAAACAAATTGTAGATCATTATTTAGATCAGCTGCCAATTTGACCTTATTGAACCAATCAGACCTAATATAAAGACAGGAATAAATAGTGTCATCAGTATAGAATTTAACCTAGAAAATTTATTATCTTAATTTATATTTTTGAATCTTACTAAGGTTCCTTTCACTGGGATTATATTCAACACAGAACTAATTTTATTAGGATATATCTTCCTATGACAATTTATGATTCTTCAGTCTAAGATTTAGAATGTAAACGACTATCCAGCAACCACTTCAAATAAATCCCTAAATTTTCTATGAGCAGTAGGAAGATTACAATTAAATGGGAAAATTAATCAAATCTGTGAACATTGTGGCGCCAAGAAATGGCCAGCAAAAGCATCAGTTCTGCGCAGTTTAAGAAGTAAAATCAATCTGCTAACAATACAAGTGCTCCCAGAGTTTCTCAAGTATATAGTCTTAGAGGATACTCCAGAAGCACAACATTTTAGAAGAAACCGCCTGAAATATAATTCTGCTTTTTAAATGTCATCATTTGGGCGTAGCCGGACATTTGACCGAGAGATATTTGGCCGAAAGATATTTGGCCGAGAGATATTTGGCCGAACAGACATTATAAGGTAGAATTACCACTGAATTTCAAGTGATCAAATTACTAAATTACTAAATCTAAAAGTTTTCTTATTTCAATATTTGTTTATTGAAATTAGTATTTTTAAAAATATTTGAGTGTATTGGGGTAAATAGTAGCAGCTAATTATTTAAATTCGTATTTAACAGTAAGATAAAAGCTAGTTCATTCCTATAAGATAATGATCATTAAAAGCGAAATTGAAAGATCTTTCATAACGTAAAAATGTGCTTTTTGTCAAAATACTTATCATCTTACAGTAATATTTGAAGTAAAATATAATATATACAGAATAGATTTTTTAAAAATCCTGTCAAAAAACGAAAAATTATAAATTAATAGAGTAAATAAATATAAATATATGTAGCACATTACGATAAAGAATGTGACACACATGTAAGTACGGTACTATATTTTCGGCTAAATGTCCATTTTGTTAAATGCCCGAGTACCTCATTTGATATAAATACAATTTTGACAGATTTTGGATTCCTGACAACATATAAAACCCAGGGACGGTGTTTTGTGATGGGTGATTTTCCGTTACCCGAAGAATAGCATTGTGTAGGTATTTATTATCCCTGAAGAGGGGTGAACTCCGTTTATCTTACTATCTTGCCGTGTCCACATCACAGTTGCACAGGCTGCAGTGCATACGGTGCCCCTTCAACCCTAAAGGTTAAAGGGACACATGAAGTCATTTTATGGGTAACAATCAATTTTACACAGCAATTTTCAATGAAATACTTTCACACACAAACCAGTGTAACAGTAATTCATGAAAGTCCACAAAAAAAAATGTCTACCTATTTCAGCAAAACAAGCTTGTAGATGTTGTTATTGTTTAAAACCTGCAACTCTAAATGCAATTGGATAAAATAGATAAAGAAAACTAAACTGAACTTAAATGACCTTGGTGTATTCACAGGTAAAAAACAGTAACAGATTAATTGTAATTAGTAGACAATTAAGAGACATGTAATTCCCATTCAACCAAATGTCCATGGTAGATTGGAATTGAATAAATAATTGGTGTTCCAAGATAAATTACACCCAAAACATCTATGTCAGTGATTTTCGATTCGTATTACAGTATATAAATAATAAATAGAATCATCATCAAAGAAGACAAACGTCCAACTTCAGAACATGACAAAAGATACTATGCATCTGTCACAGATGAAACTGGTATTATAATTGTTGATGAAGAGTATGGCTTTCTTTTGCAACTAAGTGGACATTTGCAATGTATTACTGAAACTCATAGCGTCTATGATTTACTCCAATACCCACTCATATCCTGGAATGGTCAAGAGGGATGTCATTTTCAACTATGGCAGAAGAACTCAGAAAGAGAAGAAATTAGTCGGTCAGTCAGTTACAATTTCTATCATACTTGGATTCCAAATGACCAGATTCGACGTTGCTTAGCTTCAGTGATCGTAAGAGAACTGTTATTTCAATGTGATATGGCCGTAAGCCTAAAGTGAACTGAAATCTCTGATCAAAAACTTGAAGGACATGAAGTCAAAGCTTATTATGCTATTGGGCGTGTTTCTACTGTTCACCATATTAACACTGAGTGTCTCCACGCCGTTCAGGGATCAGTATCATTCAAGAATCTTCGGTGCTTTGGAACTAGGATATCTACAATATATTAAAATGCAACTGGATTACACGGATTCTTACAAGAAAGTAAATGACTTTCCATTTGAATGTATAAAACCCTCACTTTCCTGTCTGATTCAGCTTTGCTATAACAATAAATAAACATCATGTACAATCATTGAAAATTATCTAAGTGAATCTGCCAGATCCTGTCTTTGCACATAGCCAGTTTTGTAGTAGCGTTCAGGTGTTGAAAACACTAATGATCTCTTCATTCTGCTACAAGAGCAAAAAATCGAGAATATTGTTTACTATGAAGATTTAAACTGAACAAGGAAGTGAAAAATTGTCTCCACCCCAAAGCTGTCTTGTGACGATCACTTTAAAAAAAAAACCTTTGTGACATGCCCAACCTGAGCCTTTTCTGTAAATATTTTCATGCTTATTGTTCTGATGAGCTTTCCTCTCTTGTATCGGGTCGGGAAGAACTGGTAAATTACGCCCTTTCAATATGTGTCTTAAAAGCCGAATTGTAGCGAAGATACTACTATGTATTTAGAGATTCTTGACAAAATCAAAAGAAGAGTAAGCAATATTATCGGTCCTGATCTGGCATCTAGACTTCAATCACTTTCCCACCACCATAACTTATCTTCTCTGTGTCATTTATATAATTATTTCCATGGCAATTTTTCTGATGAGCATTCTTCTTTGGTAAGAAAGGATAAACTACGTCTTTCTAATAATTGTTTTAGAACAAACAGGAACCGTGTTCAGGTTAAGGTCTGTCAATATTCCCCATCTTTTATATTATATATATTATATTTTATTATATATCTTTCCCTGCCTGATAAGTACAGGTTGCTTCTTATATTACTTCATATATTTCAGCTCTGTCTCTGAATACCACTCTACCTGATATTGGCAGCGACTTTCACCGTAAGATATGGCAACTTCGTCTCCGAGAGGTAAATCATTTTATTTTTACCAGAAATATAAATAAAAAATCTTGGTCGTATATTTTTTAACAGTGAAGAAACATAATATCGCTTTCACTTACCAATATTAGACAAGAGTATATTTGGAAATATATGCTCAAAAGCCTATGTCAGTTATACAGTGATACACGCTTAGGAGATCATGTATCTTTCGATATATGACTGACGAGACAGGTTTCTTCCCGCGGTTGTTTGCCATTTCTTTTCTGCGGTAGACCAGTTACCATCTCGCTATTTGCCCATAGCTGAGGGGAGAGGAAGAGGATTCATACCTTTCCCAAGGTTATTAGTGAATGTAATAGAATCGACTGGAATTCGAACTCAGCTCTCCGCTCTGCTCGGATTAAGGGATCCTCAATCCGAGCCGCTTATCCATTACTCCACCGTGCCTCCACACTTACCTATGAGCATCGAATATAAAATTTGTGATCATCAGTTGGGTGAGGGTCCCAGATCCTCAGTTGTATTATCTGGTGCTAAAGATTTAAAATGACGGTTAAATATTAATCGTTTATTTTTAGCTGGTACATTGGCACAATAAGAATTCTGTCATAGAGTTTATCAGTAATGCAAGTTTCAGTAAGTTGTAAAATTTTCGTGAAAGGAGTAGAGAAAATATTATTTCAAATGAATACAGTGAACAAAGATACGGATTTCACATGTCAACAAGTATTTCCTGGAAATGACTTCGAAAGCCTAGAGGTCTCTGTTAAGAAAAAAGTGTGAGTCTTTCTATAAGGAATCACAGGAAATGATGAAGCATTTAGGCTGACGGTTAATGTTTACAGCCTAAAAACATATAGCGACCATTTATTTTGTATTGTATTCCCCATTCTTTATTTCAGAATCGAGTTACTGGCGTAAGTCAGTAACTCGATTCTGAGTCACTCAAGCAACCAAATTAGGATGTTTACTATTACATACAGTTTATCCGGCACACTGAAGAAAAGAAAACTCCACAAATCAGATGCCTCTTCGATCTAAAACTTAATCAGTGAAACATGGCTGTTTGTTAAATGAGCCTGACCGATTTCCTGATGACTTCACAATGAAATATATGGTTATGAAATTTTGATTATAAATCCAAACAAGATATTAAACGAAAAACAACGAAGTGTAACCGAATCCTCATTTGAATGCTATTCATTTTTTATAAATATTTTACCAAATTATCGATGCATCTTATATGACAGGAAATAGAGTATGTGGATTTTTCTGACACCTTGACATGTATACCAAAGCAGAAAATATCGATTCTTCATTTATAACTTTCTGATGATGATATAAATAAGTAAAAAATAATAAAAACGCTTCCTTTTCATAATGTACTGTATCTATAAAAAGCACTGTTTGCATTTACTTTAATCATTTATTCGTACAATTGTCTGAAGGACAGGGATTTTGCTGGGTTTTTTTTCTTCAAGAGACAAAATCATACTGAAAACTCCACTTTCTTGGGTACCAAAATTTCTTATCTACCATTAATTATCATTTAAAACATAGATAAAAATAGAAATTAAAACAAAACATTGTAATTGTTTTGTCAATTCTTCTTTCCTACCAAGATTTACTGTTTGTATAAACACAACATTTGTGCAAATACGCAGCAATAAATTTTTATTTCACTCCACAAAATAAATTCTAGATAATAATTTAAAGAAATTCTAACTCACAAAATAATTACTTAAGCTTTTCTTGATCAAATTTAGTTTGACAATTTAACATCTCCTAACGTACACAAAAATGACTCACCTTCATATACGTAAGCAACTATCGGTCTGCTATAGATAACGAGATTTTTATTTTATACTATATGCTGGTTGATTGCTTTTCTATTGTGATAAACATTAAGCGTAATATATACTAACTCTTTAAATTCGTTTTGAAATAAGTGTTAGCAAACTTGCCACGTCGATCTTTACTGCTGTAACATGCATTGTCACTGAATACCCCACACGTGTCCATTGTTTTGCGTCATATTGTGCATGAATAAAATACCATGTCACTTCAAATCATGACTCTCCACATATTCTTTTATTTTCTCTGAATTGCCATGACTTTTAATGAAAGATAGTGGATTTATTTCTGTTACATTCTGCACTCTGAATTCAGAGTACTCCTTATTTTAGAGTGGCTACTATTCAATACTCATAACTCCAGCCTACGTTGCTATTTAATCTATAGCTGGGGGCGATAAGATATAGATTTCCCAAGCGTACTAGTGCGAATGGGAATACAGTAGACTAGGTCAGAATTTGAACCCGGTTCGCCGATTTCACTTTGCGTGTGGTTATCTGTTACGCTACCTCTACATTCCAGTCTTCATAAATAAGATCAACTCACAAATCCCTGGCGAATTTGATCCTTACTGGTCATATCTCAACACTGAACCTGTGTTAAACTTACTACTGAACAATGTCAGCGTCATTTTTCACTAACCTAAACTTAACAAATATATTAAATTTTGCTATTCATAACTTATTTGCTGTCATCGGATAAAATCATCAAATTCTGTTTCCGTGACCTTGTAAACTAGTCTTGGAAAATATTAAAACGTTACAGCGAGTTAAAGAATTCTCGTATTTTAAAGAGAATTTTTATTGCTTAACAAGTGACCTTCGGTCTCTGTGTTGGCACCAGCTGAGACAGTATAGGTTTTCCTGCGATAGATAATTTTACCTCAGTTGTGCTCTTGTAAACACGAGTTACTATCATCTACATTATCAGTGAATGTGTGCGTATTCACCTGACACAGAGATCCAAGTTATTGTCTAAATGTTTTTTCATATTGTATTTTCTGTCTTGTTTCCAGTTCCAAGGTTGTCTGATGGTCGGCAGCCTGATCCAGATCTTCATCGGCTTCAGTGGGTTAATGGAAGTGTTTTTATCTTTTGTTGGTCCGCTTACCATTATGCCAACAATCACTTTGATTGGACTTTCACTGTTTGAAGTCGCAACCGACTATTCTGCCGGACAATGGTACATTGCTTTGCTGTAAGTTACAAATTAGTATTTCTATGTGACACTCATATGTCACCTTCAAATTTGGTGTAATAATATATATATATATATATATATATATATATATATATATAGTCAACAATAATATTGCTGACTTTCAGTCTTTACAGTAAAATAGTGAAGTCAAAAAAGCACTTCCTTCCTTTTCTCAAATTAGTATGCACTGCGTTTGGCCGGTCATCTGAACCTTAGCACCCAATTAGGAGATCCTTGTTTTTGCAGAGCGATGGTCATAGAACTGGAGGATGCATCCTTTTGCAATATGACATGTCGGACTTGTGAGTAAAGACAGCCTTTTGCAACATCTACTAGGTTTCCTTTTTAGTGTCAAAGAGAAAGTATATAACACATTTCTATACTTTGTTAATATATTCTCCCTTTAAAATATAAGAAAAAACTTTATTCACTTTCTTCCGGTTTATCTTCAGTCATCATTATTTTTAATTATAAATGTTTTAGTAATTATCTTTACCGATTTGGCAACCCGACAACTTACCGATGAAACAGGATTTTCGATGTTTTCTTTCATCATTATTTTAGCAGACTAATCTAATCTGAGAATATTTTTGTTCCATTTGTAGCAGTTTGTGTATCCAGTCTTCATTCGACATGACAGGCTGAACTACACTTATGTCCACTAATTTTCTGTAAACAGAAAATCTTTACATGACACCCAATATCTATTCTAATCTCTGCAGTATTTTCTGCGGTATTTGATTTGATGAGATTTGGTTCGACTTGATCTCATGCAGTAAGCAAGGTAATACTTTTGAAAAAAAAAAAGGTTTATAGAATGTTTCACCAGATTTAACTGAGGCGAAGATAGGAATAAAAGAGTTCTAAATCAAGTCACTGAATCTAATAAACAAGCCTGAAAGTGTACAAAAGCAAACATGGCTGAAGCGGAAGTGGTATTCACTGAAAATTGTGCAATTGTCTTTGGTTCAATATTAAAAATGTATTGATATGCAAATTAGTATAATTTGCATATGAGCAGGTAGCTCATATATAATAAAATGACACCAACGAGAACGGTGGAATACGAACTTAGTGGATACACGACATAACAATGGCGTCACCGATAGGATACTCTTTGGTCCTTGAAGACCCAGAGTACGTAGACACGTGGATTCGTTGCTTTGCTGCTAATGCTAGATGTAAAAAGTTGAAAGACAACAAAAACAGAGGAGGGGAAAATGAAATCACCGACTTGTTCATGGCTACCGCTGGTTGTGAAGCGATTATGAAGGTTGCTACAATGGTTTACCCTCGAGAACTAGAAGAAATGACTTTCGAAGAAATAAGTCAGGTTATTAAGGGAAACATGAGGCCAAAGAAAAGACTGGTGATTGCAGAAAGGACCAAGTTTATGGCAATGAAGCAGGAAGTGGATGAACCGATAGTAAAATATTTACACCGGTTAAGAAGTGCGAGTAAATACTGTGAATTCGAAAAACTAGGAACAGGCGAGCAGACAACGGAAGAAGAATTAATCAACTAAGATTAATTGAAGGTATGCATAATTCGGCACATAGATATAAGTTAATGGAACAGTTACAACTTACAAACATGCCTTTGAATATGTGTATAGAATTTATACAACAGCAGGAATTAATACATACCTACAACCAAAATAAAAATAAATCCTACGAAGAAATAATGGCTGAAACATATACGGTACAAACAAAAGAAAAAATTGTGCGTACTGTGGAAAAATTCATGAAATGAAAAAAAAAATGCCCAGCCTTTGGAAAGACGTGTTCAAAGTGTTTAAAAAAAAATCACTTCAAAAAGAAGTATGTAAAACGAAAAATGTGGAAAGAGTAGAGGATGAAAATAGACAGATTTTTAATGTAAAAAGGATAATATACAAAATACTGGATCTAAGAACGGAGATACAAAAATAAAAGTGAAAATCAACGACTGTATTGTCGAAATGCAAATCGACACAGGTAGTGACGTCACGATAGTACCCAGAAATTTGTGGAAAAAATGGGAAAACCGTTTTTAAAAAAACCAACGTACAACTACGTCAGTTTGATGGCTCGATTATAGCAATTATGGGTTACTTTGAAGGTTCAATAGAATTAAAAGAAAAATATGAAATAGTACCCATTATATTTACAAATTGCCGAAAAACGCATGGACTACTGGGGAATGACGTGTTAAAAATAAATTCAACGAAGTTGATTAATGAGATAGAAATAGAAAAAACAGGAAAATTAAAAAACTATGAAGCTAGCCTGAAATTAAAAGATGTTTCCCCCTCCTACTACGAAGCGAGAAAAATACCAGTGCATTTATTACCATTGGTAATAGCTAAATTGAAAAGCTAATAAAGGAAGACTTATTAGAACCTGCCCCTCCAGGAGGAAGTAAATGGGCATCACCCATCGTGGTATTGAAAAAAAAAAGATGGTGACCTGAGAATTTGTGGAGACTATAAAATAGGGGTGAACCATAAAGTTTGTGCTGACTCGTACCCTATTCCAAATGGAAGTAGCTTTACATAAGCTTGCTGGAATGAAAGTATTTTCGAAGATAGACCTAAAATCAGCTTACCACCAAATACCGATAAATGAAAATTTTAAAAAGTGACGACTATAAACACACCTATAGGCCTGTTAAGGTGGAAAAGAATGCCGTATGGCATAAAAACAACAAGTGCAATTTTTTCAAAAAGCTATTGAAAAAGTAATAGGAAATGTTGAAAATACCATCTGTTATCAAGACGATATATGTGTTGGAGATTTAAATGAAGATGATTTAAAGAAAAAAACTGAAAATATACTGAACCGGCTGAGAGACGCTGGTATGACAATAAATACAAAAAAGTGTGTAACCAACAGTAATGAAATATCATTTTTGGGTTACTCAATATCAAAGGAAGGGATCTCTCCAGATAAAGTACTAATAGAGAAAATTCTAAAAGTTGCTACACCAAAAAATAAAAAAGAATTGGAGTCCTTAGGTTTGGTAAATTTTTATAGAAAATATGTACCAAAATATAATGAGTTGACAGAGCCATTTGCTAAGTTAAGAAAAAAAAAATGTGGAATTCATTTGGTTAGAACACCAACAGAAAGCCTTTGAAAAATTAAAACAGATTCTGGCAAAAAAGCCAATAGTACAAATTTTTGACCCTAAGGACATAACTCTAACTACTGACGCTAGTGAGCAGTCCATATCTGGTATTTTGTCACAAGATGGGCATCCCATAATGTATTTATAAAGGAGATTAACAACAACTGAACACAATTATTCGAATATAGAAAGGGAGGCACTAGCCATAGTGTGGACAACGCATAGAGCAAGACAGTTTTGATGGGGAAAAAATTCTTGTTGAAAAGTGATCATAGACCACTGGAATTTATTTTCAACCCAAGAAAAGAGCTACCGAAAGTTACAACGTCCAGAATATTACGTTGGGCGATTAGACTGATGGCGTTCGACTTTGACATTGAATATGTTAAAGGGAATACGATACCGCACGTTGATGCCTTATCTAGATTGAGGTTTTATAGAGAGGAGGACAAAAACGACGAGGAATTTGAAGACACATTCTTGCACCTTGTAGAAACCGATGTAATATCTGTAGATAAAATGGCTACTGAAACTACAAATGACCCAGTGTTAAATAGAATAATGTCGAGGATAAAACAGAATCGCTGGGGAAATTGTTCAATGGCTGAAAGAACATTCAAAGAAATTAGACATAGAATGACTATAGAAAACGGGATAATATGTAATGGAGACTTGGTAGTTCCCCAGAAACACAGAGGAGACAGGTTATAAAAAGTGTACACGATGACGTACATTGTGGAGTGGCAGCTACGCAAAGAAGATTAAAATTGGAAGCCTGGTGGCCGGGGTACTCAAGAGACGTAGAAGACTACGTAAAAGATGCAAAAAATGCACAGAACTCAGGAATTTTAAGCAAAAGAAAATACATGTATGGTTGAGAAGTAGAACCATGGAGCAGAGTACACATGGACCATGCCTATGCCAATGGGATAGGACTATTATTAATATTAGTAGACGCATATTCAGGTTGGCCTGAAGTGGTGAGAGTACCTGATAAAAAAAGTACTACCGTAAAACAAATATTAAGAGTAATATTTTCGAGGAATGGGACACCGAGAACATTGGTGACTGATAACGCACCAGAATTTGTGGATGCTGATTTGCATGAATGGCTAGGAAAAATAGGATGCAGACCTTACAAGACCCCTCCCTACCACCCTCAAAGTAATGGGGCAGCGGAAAGGATGGTCCAGACGGTAAATAAGGGCATAAAAGTATGCTTGCAACAGAAGAAGGAAATCGATGCTTTCCTACCAAGATTACTATTAAGTTACAGAACAATTCCACATGCAGGCAGGCCGGAAAGTCCATCTGCCTTAATGGGCAGACAATTAAGGTCCCCTTTGACTGTCATATGCCACAAATCAAAAGATGTGGTACAAAAGAAATAGGAATATGCAACCAGAGTCAGCCGAATTTATTATGCAGAAAGGACATAATACTGCAATATTAAATAAAGAAAATGGGAAGTGTTCTAGCTCATAAGATCCCAAGGAGAAGAATCTGATGAGGAAATGCCTTCAGAGATGCCCATTATTGATGTATCAGAAGAGTTGATGCAGAATGAAACTGCGGAGGAAGAAGTAGAGAGAGATGAGTTAGAAGAGGAAGACCAGAGTATGCAAGAGGAACAATTTGATTATAGGGAAAGACGTGATAGATCTAGATCTCCAAGGGAAAGGAGAGAGATAAAGGAAGATGTTCAGGAGGGCACAAGAAGTACTCGCGGTATAAGGCCCCTCCGTTTTAGAGAGATGTAGTGATATGCAAATTAGTATAATTTGCATATGAGCAGGTAGCTCATATATAATAAAATGACACCAACGAGAACGGAGGTGGAATACGAACTTAGTGGATACACGACATAACAAAAAACACAGTAAAATCTGATTTCTTTCTTTCTTCCATTTTTTTTTAACAGGACTACCGCACTGATCTGTATATTTTCACAATATATGAAAAATATTGATGTACCCTGTTTCCTTTACAAGAAAGGCGGTGGATGCTCAAAGATACCCATTGCTTTATTTAAAATGTTTCCTGTAAGTAAACTTTGAGGTTTTCACTTTTCTCTAATAAATATCTTTTTCTTTTTTTTATCTGTTAACCTTTAAAAATAAAGCTGCAATGTTTTTAATTTGTTTTATCTTTTCATCCCAAACAAGACGACAATGACACTAGAATTCCAGGGAATGAAATTTAAAAAGAATAAGACTGAGAATGAGGAGGATTGAGAAAAGGACAAAATGGAACAGGGATTAAGAAGACAGAAGATGGCGATTGACGTTGCATTTAAATTTTTGAAGATTGCAAATTTTAGGGATTCTAGAAATCAGAATAGATTTCCACAGGTGGGAAGTGCGAGAAAAAAAACTATTAGAGTAGAATTTGCGGTGGCATCTAGCTAGTTCAAATGTAAAATGGTGGTTGCCAATCTAGCAGTACGGTTAAATTCATGTAGTCGGGACGCCAGAAGAAAAAGCTTACTCAATTTTTTCATGAAATATGAAACCTTAAAATAATTATCGATATCTATTTAATCAACAGTCGTTTAGGCGCTAAAAAGTCTCATCACCGGGAATAATAACTTGTGCTGTGTCAGGTTAAACGCCAAGTCAAGATAATTTCTCCCAATTGAGACCTTTCCAGTTAGCTTGAATTGGCCTCTACAAATATGAGTTTACTTAGACTAATTCATGTAAATAATAACTCCTCATCCCTAAAACTCTGTTTTACGTTTAGTTTTATCAAAATAAACACGTTTGGTTTAATTCACACTGTACATATGATTTAAGAAAAATATTTCACATTTTTTTTTAAATTGTCATATTTTCTCTAATGTTGGCGACGGATTTCCACTGATTTCGAAATAAAATAATTCAGCAAGCGTTGGCATATCAACACATAGCCAGTGCAATATACAATAATTAAATCACCTAAATTTATGCAGACAACAACGAATGGTTAGTTTTCTGTAGAAGAAGGCGAGGATGGTCTTAATGAAATGCTTGAATCATTTTCAAAGCGCCAGTAAGTGTTCGATATATGGCAGACACAGCGCATTTTTTTATATCTTATTTATTTCACAGAATTTTTTCATTCTTATTTGCAGGTATTATTGGCGGTTTGCATATCCTGGATACTCTGTTACATTCTCACCATCACAGACGTTTTCCCCAAAGAGAAAGGCAAATGGGGCCACGCGGCCCGAACTGATCTTTACAGTGATGTACTTTATAAATCAGCTTGGTTTCGTTTTCCATATCCAGGTATGCCTTTATATTTTAGTAGAGAGAAATAAAAATTTAATCCTGTATAAGCAGTCAGAATATTCACGAGTTTTTTGTTTTTTTGTTTTGTTAATTTCTTTCCTGCTTCTTTCTCTCACTTTCTTACTTTGTCAGAGGGTCAGCTACTGTAGAACACTGCTTAATCTGGCAGGTTATTCGCTTTTGTAAAGTTTAATCCTCACTACAAGTCTAGTATTGTGGCGCTAGATCAGACGAACCTAAACTATGTTTAAAATGAAGAAAAAATAAAATAACAAAAGAGCGCCTACAGTAGAGTGATAGCTACAATGCGAGTCTCACAAACCATTGTTAGTGTTGTGAATTAGATCCTTACTGTGTGATTACTTAATATGGCCCTATCCTAAAAATCAACCGAGGTGGCTACTGAAAAGATCTCGGTCTGACCAAGAAGAATGGCCTCCAGCCATGAAATGTACGATTATTCCTCATATTTTCTACAAAAAAGGGCACCTACTGCAAAGTGATAGCAACAATGCTATTCTATCCTTACTAGGTGAACCCCAGTTAATATGGACCTACTGTAAAAATCAAAACGGCATACAATCTTCTCCAAGGTAACTGTTGAAAAATTCTCGGTCTGACGAGTCTTAGGCGTAATGGTTAGTTCGCTCCGATATCTGAGGACTAAAAGTGGTGTAAGAAAGGTTCATCGGAGGTGCATCAACATCCCCTACCCCCATTTGATTTAATATTGTATAAGCAAAATGACATGAACAAAGGCTAGCATCGGCAAGTTACCTGTTTGTTACAACCAAAAATTTACAAGTTTTTCAATTTAAAAACTACATTCCTCCCAAGAACAACAAGATTAGTCGTTTCAAGTGTTGAGTTAAATGCTACACTTCTCATTTATTTTCAACAAATTGATAATACAGTTTTATACAGTCCATCTTAAAAGACCATCCAAATTACATTGTCTAACCCTTTTAACAGTCTGGTGTCGAGGGGTTCTTTTTCTCCCTCTAACATTCATGTCATGATTTAAAGATTTAGCATACACTACAAGTTTTTCTTATCTTAGATTCAGTGTCTATTGGCACAGCTTCCTTACAAATTAACTTTGCAATTTAACTGAACAATTAATTTTGAGCTTTATTTTTATTGCTTGGATCTAGACAATTACCTTCCTGTACCTTAACAAAGACAGGAAATAAAGATCGCAGTATGAGTGTTGGGTTAAGTGTATGATTAACTCTAAATACATGTGTTAGGGTAGAGTAAGGGAAATGGCAGTATATTATAACTATCAAGTTGTATAAATTTGAATTGGGAGAAAATCAAGCAGAGAATTATGACTAAACAGTTACATAACAAATTCATTGAGAGGAACGGAATAATATTGCATAAAATGATAATGTTAATCCAATTAGACAAATCCATACATACATTTACGATTTGTCATTTTCACGATCTGAGCTTTACATATTCTCTTGGTGGAATTGTTGGTGTCTATAGTTATTTTCCAAGTGTAGCTTAGATGTAGCACAAGGCCGACAGTATAGGGGCACCCAGTGAGGATCAAACTCACTATTCAGTCGTAATTAGTTCTAGCGAGACAAATTCACTAACCATTACACCACCTCGAGGTGCCCACAAGAGATTTTCTAAGCACAGCTTAGATGTGGCACAAGGCCGAAAGTAAGGGGCACCCAGTGAGGATCGAACTCACTATTCAGTTGTAATTAGTTCTAGCGAGACAAACTTGCTAACCATTACACCACCTCGAGGTGCCTATAGAAATGATAATCTTACTTTTAGAACATTTATGAGGACAGACCATCTCACGTGAATGGGGTGAGGCGTACATGTATGTGAGAGAGAGTGAGGAGGTATTTTTTTTTATTTTACTTTCTTTTTTACTTTCTTTTTTTTTTTTATACTTTCTTTTATTTTTTGGGGAGTAGGCTACCTATCAAGAATAGAAATCTATTCATACTATAGATACGCCAGTCATTAAAAGGAATCAACTCTTACACAGCAAATTTATTAAATCCAGCTACTCGACAGAAACGGAATAATCTATTTACACCGCAATACAACATGCGTGGCACATCCTTTTTCTAACCTTTCCATCCTCTCGAAGAATTCTGATTTTTTATAATTTAAATACTAATTTTGGGAAGTAGGCCGAGCCTAGAAATGTTCAGCGTACCCACTTGAAATTAACTTTGTCCATCGCTAAAGATGCAGGAAAAATGTACCGCTTCAGTAAGTACCTGACTCCGCGTGCTACCCTGTACCTTTACAAAAGCTAGATCAGGCCTAAATTGAAGTACTGTTGTTATATTTAACACGAAAAAGCGTATCCGCGTGCTTTATTTTTATTTATTTATTTTTTTTTTTTTTTTTTCTCTCTCTCTCTCTCTCTCTCTCTCTCTCTCTCTCTCTCTCTCTCTACTACTACTACTACTACTACTAGCGCTGTCGCTGCTTCCATGGAAAGTGCTTGGATGAACTACATTCCTTGGTTCCACCAGTTCTAACCTTCACGGCTAGGACCCGCCGTGACACTCACATTGTAACAAACCACCCTCATTTCCTCTGTATTCCATTGGTGAGAAGTAAGTTCTACTCGAACAGTTTCTTCCCGCGTACCACTGCTCTGTGGAACCGACTCCCAAGATGATGTTTCCCCGATCACTACAATCCTAACCTGTTCAACTCTAGTTTTAATCGTTATCTTTCCCTCCTATCTGCATAAACTGTCTCTTCAGGCCTTGTACAGGGTGAACCTCACTATAAAAATCTAGTTACCTCCAAAGAAACGCGATATCTTAGGTTTAAAATGAATTTTTCAAACTGAAAAATCATTGTTGATGCTTTTTATAATTCCAAGCTAATAGATTAAATTTAATATTTCCAACACTGGAAAATACTTTGCTGTATTTCAAAACGAATTTAAGTTGATTGGAATGATCTTATTAAAATCGCTAAAAATGGCTGATTTTAGCCATATTTACAAACCTGTCAGCACAACGTAATTTTCTTTATTAAAAAAAATCTTTAAAAAGTAAAATATACATTTCTTATACTTTATTTGAGGAAGATGAGCTGATTTAATGTTTAATTAATCTGATTTAAAATAAATATTACTTACTTTTAGGCTAAAATATCGCAGATAAGCATTCTTACCATGGAGGTAGGTATTTTTATGAGTTGTTGACAGCTATCTCGATAGAGTTAAGTTTGGGAATTTTTCCTGTGGGGGAAATATCTGTAAAATTACTTGACAAATATAACGTGAGCGCTTTTTATATTTTAACTACCCAGTAATATTTAGGAAAATATTCTAATGTAAAATTTTATTGAAGTTTAGGTATTTTTAATTTAGGTAATGCTTTTAATTTCTTATAATGTCGTGTGTGGACATCCGTCGTTACAAAATCGGGACGCTTATACACAGATAAAAAAAATCAAAATTTATTTTAAAATAGTAGTGGGATCGTTTAATTGTAATAAGCTTTTTTCCATTTATGATTAGTAAACATAGTTTTTACTTAATAAAAATATCACGTAACAGGTAAAAATTAATATAAAATTTTAAAATATTTAATAGTTTATAAATTATTCTAATTAAATTTTTAAAAATGCAAACAAGAATTCATTATTCATCAAAAAATAGAGAAACATTTTCTAAAATACTTTCATTCATTTGTGAATAAGTTCTGGATGCTATATTAAAATCAGATAATTATTTGATTTTTACAAGAACTTCCAAATCAATGTGTTTTTCACCGCAAAAAGACACACAAATTTTATATACTAATTCACGGTCACCCACTGAAAGCAAGAAAATTTTAAACCAAACATTTTGAAGGTTCTAAAAAGGATCAAAAATATAATTTAATAATCAAAAAATTCTTTGCTCTTTCTTTTTAATAATAACATAAAGCTTTTGACGATAAAACTTTCTTTTCTATAAGTTTGGGGCATTTTTTCATCATGTATTCTAATTTTTAGCGAATCTTTGGAGATACCCAATTATATCTGTTAATAAAATTACCATTCTTATCAACTTTATATAAGTATTTAGTTTAATTTATTACTAATATTGTTAGGCAATATTATATTTTGAGGTTTTTAATTGCAATAGATTTTCAAATTATTTAACCCTAGATTGTATTGTAAGACATAAAATCATTACTTCCCTACACGCAAGGCACCAATCTGCAACTGGGTAACATGCCAATAGCGTTTGCCGCTGGTGGCTCGCTGTCGGCTACCGGCGTGTTCGTCTTGGCAATGTTACCACTGGTGGACGGCTAGAGGCCCGCGGGTGGCTGCCACCAGAGGACCGCTGGCGTTGCTGTCGGCAGCCCGCCAGTGACACACTAGCGAATTGCGTGTAGGCTTGTTTCATACAAACATAGTTTTATAAAAAATAAAGGTACAAATCCAAGAACAACGTCTTGAATAATAAACGATAAAAAAATAAAAGAACATTGGCTGCTGATTTGAGAAATTGCATTGATTATTGTCCAACGTCTTGTTTCAAAAGTGGAATTACCAATAAACGTTAAATGTTTGGATTTCTCAGAGGCTTGCAAATTTTCCCAATATACATTTTGAAAACTGGAGAGTGAATATACTACTGAGAACTGGATTTTCGCTGAAAACGTTAGCACACACCTAATATTGTGTTGGGCTAAAAATCCATTACGTTTTGCGTCGTTTCAATAGGTGGCGATTGAACATGTGATTTAATTTCATAAGCAAGTGAACGTAATGTCCTATATAATGAAATGCGTTGGGCACCTCGAGGTGGTGTAATGGTTAACAAGCTTGTCTCGCTAGAACAATTCCGACTGAGTAGTGAGTTCGAGCCTTACTGGGTGCCCCATACTTTTGGCCTATATAATGAAATGTGACCTTTCAGAATATATATATATATATATATATATATATATATATAAGTTTCATTAAATGTAGTAGACAAGGTGCTTTGATTAAGTTTTTGAAAATTTCTCTTGAGATCTTATTTGTTTTTTTTTGTTTTGTTTTTTTGTTTTTTCAGTAGATAAATTATATAAACTTGTCCAAATGTTGTTTTTTTTTCCCGAGCGCTTTCGGCTATACATTTAACCATTTTCAATTTTGAAATATATTAACTATTAACTAAAAATAGATTGTTGTATGTAGGAACTTACGTTTCATTTTAAAAAAAAAACTCAATAATATGAACTATGAACATGGACACAATATCGTCACCGTGTTTAGGATTACTGCCCAAATATATATATATATATATATATATATATATATATATATATATATATACGAATACAAGGCTGGAATAGATAGAATAAACTTCCAGTAACCAAAAACACTATTTTTTTAAAAAGTGCTCAATATACAGTAGAGCAAATAATGTTTATTTAAAAATTATAACATGTGTATGTTATAACATCAATACAAAAATAACCATTTTTTTTCAACACTTCTGGTGTCTTGTCAAGTGATAAAGCTTTATTTTACTTGCAACACCATCACTTGACAAGACACCAGTAGTGTTGAAGCAAAATGGCTATTTTTGTAATGATGTTATAAAATACAAATGTTATAATTTTTACATATATTCTAAAAGTTAATATTTCAACTCATCATTCTATACTATTTACTGTAGATTTCTGATTTTAAATATTTTGATAACGCTGAAAGAATTTGTTTGCAATCCACCACAGATTAAATCGGGTTGAGTGTGAAAAGCATGTCATAAGCCAAACAATTGAATATTTCAATCGACCAAGTGTGATGGGATCCTCAGATACTTCTGAGGAGACCTGAAATAATGATTTATATATGTTTAACTGTCCGCTACCACTTTTTCACAAATGTCGATTTTCGTGCAAAAAAGCGGATCACATCTTCATACATTTTTCTAAAAACCTGAACTTCTCATTGGACAATAAATAGTAAAATTATCTCGTATATCTCCACGTGCATTGTTCTCAATAAGCAACACAAAACAGGTGTTCCAGTTTGAGTTTTGTAAGGCGCTTTCTGAGTGGTTAACAGATATCAAAAAAAAACAATTTACCTGCTCACCACTACGTCCGAATAACGTCAACCTAGTTTTTGACTTGACGAAAAAACAATGCTGATTGGAGCCTATCACGTGATTAAAAAAACATTTAAATTGAACATACGAGCGAACCCAGTCAGTGAGAATTTACGACGACTAGAATTTGCTAAACGAGTTCACAACGCTTGAATCATTACTACAGCGAAGTACAAAGTTAGAACCTCAAGTTCTTTAACATGAAATAACTTCACTGAAATTCAAGCTACAATTTCAACGAAACAACTCACTCACCAACTTCTGCAACTTACTAAAACTTATTCAATTACGTTATTGAATCTTACGAAGCTTAAGTACAAAAACAATTACGAACAATACATTCAACTACGAGTAATGAAAACAAAGGAACATTCACTTCTCCAACTTGTTTAAAGCTAAAAGTTTATCAACATATTTTCAGCTTTACAAGATTCTCTTTCAGTGAACATTTTGAACGACAAGTTAATTCAGCTTTTGTGAGCTAAGGTAAAAAAAAGTTTAGTAGAAAAACTTTAGCCCAGTCAAAGGGAAGTGACTCATATTATTGTTATTGTAAAACTGTTGTCATTTATAAATATAAATATTGTACCTGTTATGAAAATTTATTTTCTTGTGTTCTTTCTCTTGTTTACTTTTTGTTTTCTTACACATTCGTAAAGTAAAAAATGTGTGGGTTGATTTATGCCGTCAATACCACTACATATTTTTAATTATCTAATGAAAACTTTGTATGACAGATTTTTAAATTACTCTTTTATAACTTCTATAAATAATAATAAATATTCTTTTTCTTAAGGTCAATGGGGAGTTCCAAGAGTCAGCGCAACAGGCGTACTGGGTATTTTTGCAGGTGTATTCGCTTCCATTATTGAATCAGTCGGCGATTACTACGCATGCGCAAGAATGTCTGGGGCACCACCCCCACCTATTCATGCCATCAACAGAGGTACGATTAATACTATTTGTACAGGAGCATAAACCAAACTGATTTTAGACTGGCACAATAGACGTCTACAGTTAACAATAACAACAACTACGATAAAGAACTTTATTTCCTTGCAACTTCATTTTGTCTTTATTATTTATTTCTTACAAAATCCATCGCTTATCTTTCAATGTTTCTGTTTTGTTCTGCCGGTGACCTTTTCATTTATCATCATAACAGAAACTTATTTTCTTTCTAATGATATTCATTTTGAGGTTTCCTGTGTTTATCAAGACAGAGTCAACGAATGATACTGAGCATGGTCAATTTCCTCGCTTCGAAATCCATATTTTCTAAGTTAATTCCTGTCTATCATGATGATAGTTCCTTACTCAAGTTAGATAGATCCAGTCATTATATACGTAGAAAGATAGATAGACTCAAAATCAGATAGATAGATAGATAGATAGATAGATAGACTCAAAATCAGATAGATAGATAGATAGATAGATAGATAGATAGACTCAAAATCAGATAGATATATAGATACACTCAAAATCAGAGAGATAGATACACTCAAAATCAGATAGATAGATAGATACACTCAAAATCAGATAGATAGATAGATAGATTCAAGAATGATAGATAGATAGCTGCACAAATTATGTATATATATATGTGTGTGTGTGTGTGTGTGGAGAGAGAAAGAAAGATGGAAAATAGCAAAAATTGTATATAGAGATAGATATAAATTCAAAATTATATATAGAGAGATACATCCAAAAATTATATATATATATATAGAGAGAGAGAGAGAGAAATACTAAAATTATATATATATATAGAGAGAGAAAGAAATACTAAAATTATATATTTATGTAGAGAGAGAGATACATAGATCTAAAAATTATATAGATAGATAGATACAAAAATTATAGATAGATGGTTCCTAAAATTATAGGTAGATATATAGATAGATACATAGATCCAAAAATTATTGATAGTTAGATATATCCTAAATTATATTTATTTCTTTATTTCTCAGGGTTTACAGGATTTTACTTATAATCAAACACTATTTCTAATTAGAGTAACCATTATATTTATTGAGTGCACGATTTTGAATAGATAAACGTGTTTTAAAACATGTGACACTGGAGACATATCATTAAGACTTTCAAATGCACAAACCGGTAGCTGTAACTTTACAATGTTTAAAAGCAGGGATGTTTTCTCAAACACGTATATTCACTAAATATAATGTTTAAATTAATACGACATATATATATATATATATATATATATATATGTGTGTGTGTGTGTGTGTGTGTGTGTGTGTGTGTGTGTGTAAGAAAATGTAAATGGATATAGATCCGACAGAATGAAGAAAATTTGGAAAAAACAAACAAAAATCCTTAAATGCAATTATGTTGTTTAAAATGAATGAAATGTCGACGTCTGACGTTTCGGTTTAATAAACCTTTTTCAAGACAATATTCATTAAAATACAATTCAGTTCAATTTGACAAAGACGATGGACATAAAAAACAAGTCTTATTCCTAAAAATTTTTGATTATTTTGAATGAAAATAATCAAAAATTTTTAGGAATACGTTTTGAAAGCGTCGCCCATGTGACGACAACGTGACCATGCTAAACGGAAAGCTGATCATTTTAAACATTTTCAGTTATCTGTTTTGGATAAGACTTTTTTTTATGTCCATCGTCTTTGTCAAATTTGAATTGTATTTTAATGAATATTGTCTTGAAAAAGGTTTATTAAACTGAAACGTCAGACGTTCATTTTAAAAACAACATAAATTTTTAAGGATTTTTGTTTGTTTTTTCAAATTTTCTTTTCATATATATATATATATATATATATATATACACACACACACACACACATATATATGCATACACACATATATATGCACACGCATACACATATATACATATATGCATACACACGCGAATATATATATATATATAAATATATATATATATTCGTGTGTGTGTATGCCTATATGTATATTGATACACATATACTGAGTTAACCACAAAATTCTGATTTTCTTAGTTGTTAATAGCATTTCATATTTATGCATTTTTGCATGATTTTGATTTCAAAATATTTGCTATTTATACTATTGTGACAGTTGTGACATTACTGTTCCTTTTTAAAATTGTTCTAATGGACGTATTTTTTCTTTATTTCTTTTAACATTAAATACGAAAGAAAATAAGCAGTATTTTTATTCTAGAAGTGTGACCATTCAAGATAAATTTCATTTAAAATATTCGGACCGCAATACCATAAGACTTCAGCTTGTAAAGAAGATCGGCGTGTCAAATGCTGTCAACGCTCTTCGTTATTCTTATCTAAACCTTGACTCTTTCAGCAAGAACAGTTAACACGTCAGCAGTGACAGTTAACACGTTGCTTGTCTGAAAGAAAACCTTGCTAGGTGAGATGCTTAACCTTTTCGTAGTTGACTAGAGACACTAGTACTTTTCAAAAATGACGTATAAAACTAATACAGGGGGCCGACACTATTTTTGAGACACTTTGAAAAGTGTGCTTAAAGGTGTTTTTTGCTGCCGAAAGCTTTTGTGTTGATGAGTAGGTAGTTCAGCAGTAACTGTCCATTAATGGTATAAACATTGATCGATGGGTTTGTCTTTGGTTTCATGTTTTCTTTATTTTTACTTCAATTTAGGCGACACTATTTTTCGGACATGACACAAATTCCGGGTTTTTTAATAATTTCGTCATCTAACGTCTACAATATGCAAATTTTCTACAGGTAAATTGTACCCTGACCATTACATTTGAGTATCTTTACCATTCACTGCGAAAACGTATTAAAATCCTGAAGAAGAATGCATTCAAAAGAAGTCATCAGTTTGGTCCAAAAGAAGAGAGAAGACGGGCTCAGCATCCGAAAGATCGCCGCTGAGATGAAGCTACCGAAGTCAATAGTTGAATACATGCTAAGTACAGACTATGAGCAGAAGAAGAAGAAGAAGAAGAGAGGACGGAAAAAAGCAATTTCCAAGAGAACAGAAAGAAGAATGAAGAGGAGTGTTACGAAGTTGTTATCATCTGGAGAAAAGGTGATAGCGAAGAAAGTAAAGGAGAAGTGCTAAAATCAAGAAAAGAATTACACTAACGAGAAAATACGAGGAGGCAAAGCTGGGAAGCGCCAAAAGATGGATAACAAAACATGTCGACTTCAAGAAAGTGATATTTACTGATGAAAAACGTTTTAAGTTCGATGGACCTGACGGATGGTGTACATGGTCGAGAAAATGTGAACCTGTTATTCTCAACAAGAGACAGATGGGAGGAGGAGGAGGAGTCATGGCTTGGGGTATGGTATTTCCGAATGGAAACTTGTGGCTCGAGTGGTTAAAAGGACGTCAAAATAGTTTGAGCTACAGAGAACTTTTGGAAAAGAGAGCCCTACCACTTATAGAAAAATAAATGGGAAGTAATTTTATTTTGCAGCAAGATAACTGCAACATCCATGTGGACAAATCAGTGAAAAATTGGATGTGTGAAGCAAATATAACTACCCTGGAATGGCCTGCAAGAAGTCCAGACTTAAATTTAATTGAAAACATATGGGAAATGCTTGCAGAGCTTGTTTACGACGGGCCAGAAATAACCAGAGAGGCTGAACTGTGGCAGCGCATACAAGATGCAAAAAATAGACTGCTAGAAACACGAATAGACGTTATTATCAATATGTATGAACATTATGAAGATAGACTGATATAAGTCATTGAAAAAAGGGTGCTGCCATAAACTATTAGCATTGTTTCTGCAATGTCCGAAAAATACTGTCACCTGTGTAATGTGAAAAATTGTAAAAAAAAATAAAAATACTTCTAATTTGAATTCTGCTTTTCCATTTGTAGCATTGAAACAGTTTTTAAATGTTATTGCCATTACACTAAAACAGTACAGACTGCCTGTGCTACCTAAAACTTGAAAATATAAAGTGTCTGAAAAATAGTGTCGCCCCCCACCCCCGTAAGTGGATATTTAGAAGAACCAGACGGTTCGCTCGAGTTCTTAAAATAAGAACTATAGAAGAGGTTTTCCAACCAACTAGAAATTAAGTACCAGCAAGACATTTATTGTAGAGCTTAGAGAAAACAGTGGTCATTTGATGAACACATTTCTTTAGGATTATTGCAGAGATACCATGGAGTCTGCATATTTTATGGGGATCCAGCTTTGAGATGATAGGGACATAACCTCGTCCATAGTTTCTGCTATCACACAGAAGAGACTAAGTTCTAAGTGGAAAGTTAGGCAAAGATAGTCCAAACGAGTCAAGAGTAGAATTGGAAGAGAATTTAAGAGCAAAGCGCAAGAGGACAGCATGTCAGATTGAGTGAAGAGAGGAGCGATAGAGGGACTTAGCCTTATTTAACAATTACATAGCCACCACTCGTCACGGTAACTAAATATGAGACGTTATACGTTTCTTCATTCTTAGAGTTATTATGGCGAGCGGACACGAAGGGGCATCTGTTGTAATCCGTGCTATCATGTTGGTACAGTCAGAAAAGGAAGGGGCTACAGTGGCTTAACCAGCAGGTGTGAACCAAGGAGAAAATTATAGTTTCACCTGGTGAGTCTGAAATTTCACAAAAGCATCGATACCCAAGAAGAACCTTCAGTTTCATACTTCTTAATAAGAAGTGTCAATTTAAATATCAATAGATAGCGTGTGATCCGAGTATCCAAGACTGCTGTTCTCTTTAAGCTCTACAATAATTACCTTACTTTCTAGTTTGTTGGAAAAATCTTCTATAGTTCTTGTTTTAAGAACTCGATCGAACCGTCTGGTTCGTCTATATTAGTTATTAGTTTTATATGTCATTTTTGAAAAGTACTAGTGTCTCTGGTCAACTCTGAAAAGGTTAAGCATCTCACCTAGCAAGAGTCAGAAGAGGAGGTAAGAAACACATCGTGTAAAAAAAAAAGAGTGCTGATCAGAATGACCAGGGAAACGCGTAAGGAAATTTACTATTTGACTGAGAAATTGAGTAACAGAAAAATTGAACGGCAACATCAGTAACATTAGAATGATTAAACCACTCTACAGTATAAACATTAAAATCATCAAACTGAAAGCTGTTTACAGATTAACGTAAAAAGAGTGAGAGAGAGAGAGAGAGAGAAATTTCAATAATGTTTTGTTTAATATATTACAGTTCTGAGAAGAAGGTGGTGATAAAACATATAGCTAACAGAATGAAACAATAAAATTGGAAAGCACATGAAAGAATCAACCAGGTACTGAAGAGACGATTCTATTGCCATTAGAAGATTTTCCCGGATGTAAACACTCAGGCCTTGTATATGTATCCTAGAATCTTTTCGACAAAAAGTCTGGAAAATAATTCATTGGTAGGGATAAAAGAGTTTAAATTAGTTTAACAAAGCATTAAGTCATAACGTTTCAAGAAAAAAAAATTCTACACTACAGAAATTCGTACGAATACCACAAAAACTGCAGACTAAAAAGGTTGAAGTGGGTAGGTGATTTTTTTTTTTTTTTTTTTACTTACTATAAATTATTTTCTATAAAAATTTTCGTGGTAATTCTTCTGATGAGCATACCTTTTTGGTACCTCAACTTTTTGAATTTAAACACAGTACTAAATTAGTAGTGACTAGCAGTAGAGCCCGGCGTTGCCTGGGGATGTAACAGTAAGACATAGATCAAGTATCGACCATCATAAAGACTAAAAAATAAAATTGACAAAGATTATTGTTTAAGGTTGACGGACACGCATGTCTTAATTAGTTTTTTGTTTTTGTTTTTTGTTTTTTTACGAATTGGTCAAACCCAAATTCAAACAAAAACATTGTTTTTAATCGTTATGAGTCTACCGATTGAATAGAATTTTATTATAAACAATTGTCTTGTAAATGGAATTTTTAAAGCATTTTGAATGTAAAAATAAAGAAAAAGGTGTGCAAGACAATAATAAACACTACCTGCCAAAAAAAAGTGAAGTTTTGTTGAAATCGGTGGAAAAATGTAGGAAATCCGATCCCATATATAAACGAACAGACACACACACACAACCTGGGTTTTATAATAAGTATGATGTTTCAACATTTTACAGTTGAAATTGCCAGATATAACTATACATTAAAAGTTTCTTCTCTTGCACTTCTCACTTGGGAAAGTCTCTTCCGGCTTCTTGGTTTCCAGTCATAATTGATCTTCAAAAATGTAAATGCAGCGTCAATCGTCATCTTGTATCTCCTTGAATTCCGTTTTTATTTCCCTCTCTGTTGATTTTCTTCTCAGCTTCTTTCAATCTCAGTAACCTCTTCAGCCTTCGGGGATTTATTGACTTACTTAGAGTGAAATGATTAAAAGTCTATTCATATTTTTATTATGAGAAAATTGAAACACCACAGTAAAAACAAGACCTTTTTCTCTTTTTAGAGACGCCTGTCAGGAATACTATTTTTTCTCAAGTTGGCAGACAATACAAGCTGAGGAAATTTGTTTTTTATGACTTTCTGATAAGCAATTTGAAAATGTAATATTCACTGATGCTATCAAGATTTAAACTCTCTTAGCTCTTTCTGGATTTTAACAAATATTAAGAAATTTTACTTAGAAATCAGAATTCTCCTAATGTAATGGTTGAAGTAGCTGCATGTTTCTCATCTATTCCATTTGTCTGTGTTCAGTTGAAGATAAAAGCCAGATATCGAATGCTAATTTTACAAAGTTGATTAAACCTCCTAATACACAAAATTAGCACAACGCCTCTTCAACTCACTATTTTTATTTAAATACACTCAAATAACGATATGATTTTTCTTTTTATAGGAATTGGAATGGAAGGTATTACTTGTTTTTTGGCCGGTGCCTGGGGAGCTGCAAGTGGCAACACATCCTACAGCGAAAATATCGGTGCCATCGGCATCACCAAGGTATGTCACAAAACTTAATATTTTTAAGGCAATTAATTTTTTGGTAATCAGTTTTTCTGCAATTATATAATAAATAAAATTTGTGCTATAAGCGTTTTTTTTACCATTTCACATTTGTACGTGTCCAGATTGCAAGTCGAAGAGTGATCCAAGTTGGTGCTTTCGTGATGATACTACTTGGATGCTTGGGTAAATTCGGTTCTCTCTTTGTCACAATTCCTCAGCCTGTGGTTGGTGGAATGTTTTTCGTCATGTTTGGTAAGTAACATTTTTTTAATGCAACTGAGTGACTAAGATGCTGTCGGAGATGAACAATAGAACGTTTTCACTCTCTTTGTTGTCGCTATTTTATTTTATTTGCATAAACATCTTATGATAAAGACTACCTTTAAAGTAGCCTTGTGCCACACATTGGTAAACATAGTATGTTGTGATTAATTGAAGAATAAAATCTAGACAGTGAAAACGAACGCACTCAGTTCATTAAATGATTTGAATATCAGTACTTAGTTAAAAGATTTAGGAAAAAAATTAAAAAGATTAGAATATTTGTATATGAACGTTTTCCATGACCCAATAGAATGTTGAGGTGCCATAACGAGTAATTCCCCATCTCTCAAACAACAGCGTTCACTTGGCAATACCAGTCTCCTCTTAAAGTAACATAATTTTTTTATTGGATTACATAATACCAGGATCGAAGATTGACCCCTGACCTAACCTATTATTGAACACCCAGGATGGATTGCTTGTGTCAAGCTAAATGACGCCAGATACCTTTCTGTTTCCCCATAGATAAAGGAGAAGTGGATTCCTGCCTTTGCCAAGGACATAAGAGCATATGATTGCGTGAAAGTGGCAGTTTCAATGATTTTCTATGATTTCATCAGAATGGTGAAGGCATGTGTAGAGACTGTCACATTTTTTCGCGACAACTGTTAATAGAGAATTGGTAAAAAATGTGCCACGAAATCTCTCAGCAGACCTCATTCTTTATCATCACTATGCCAGATCGGAGGGTGGTTTCTCCTATAAAGGGGGACGCAAGTTGGAACAATGCCGTGGGGCATATTTTTCTTTATTTTCTCAAGTATGCAGGCCGGCAAATGTAGTACACCGTTTAAAAAGCAAGACGTATATACAAATACGGACATCTACTACAAACACCATTTGAAGTAGTAAAAATATCGGATTAAAAATAAATGCATTAATTCTTTAGTAACATATGTACGCTAACCCCGTCAAGAGTAAATATAATAGCTTGAACTGGACGGGAAATTCAAAGAGGAACACATCCAAAAAAAGCTAGATGATCAAAACTTGGTACATAGTCTCAACTCTGATCTTACTCTAATAGCTCAATAGGGAAAACTGACTAGTAACATCTAATGCCTCCCAAACCAAGCTAGTTACATTTCATCACCACCGAGCAGACCCCGAATTTTCTCCAGCCATGATTAAAGGTTTGTGCTCCCAATAAAATTCATTGCCTTGAACATCTGTTGAGACTCAAAATCAGTCCAAACCCCAAGTGGAACTCACATATACGATCTATCACTAAACATGGCTCCTTGTACCACTCCAGAAATTATTTGACTCATTCTGTCTTTATAAGAGTTAAGTATTGTTACCATATCTGGGCTGATGCTGTCCACACTTCATTGGCTAGTCTCGGCATAGTTCAAAAGCCGTTACGCAGCCTTGTAGGTAATGAATTATTCCCCCCACCACCATTCAAGCCTTACCCTACAGGCGAAACGATGCTAGCCTCTCACTATCTGTTGCTATTGTTATTAATATGTTCAGACAAGTTATATTCTTTTGTTCCACCAGCGCAGATCTTCACAACTAGGAAATGCCATGCTATATTCCCTTCGTATCCCTTTGTTAAGGAGCAAATTCCACTTGAACAGCTTCTTCCCAGAACTCTTGGTCTGTGGATCAGGCTCCTGAAAAAAGGTGCTTTCCTGACAACTACAATTTTGGTCACTCGATATTCTATTCTGCATATCCTTATAATATTAATTCCTCCTTCTCCCTCCCTTACAACAATCTCACTCAGTAACGCTCTCCCTTGAGTGATCTTTGGGCCTTGTATTGGGTGAACTATAAAACTTAAAAGACGCAGCATACAAAAGAAGCATCTGTTTGATTTATTCCATTTTTTATTGTTTTTTCCTTGAATTTGAAAAAATAAACACAGTCCCGTGCAATAAAAATGACGAATCGATCCGTGATGAAATTTATGCTCAAGTGAAACGAATCGGAATGAATTGCACACACACACACACACACACACACACACACACACACATACCTACAAGGAACAAGATGTGGAGCCATGATCGACTACGTCCTGAAGGGACACGGCAAATAAAAGAAGACATTTCCATTGAACAAAAAATATAAAGAAAAAAATTAGATTCACATCAAAGATATCACAATAGAAAAATAAATGACTTAAGACTGTTTTAACTTCTAGGTTGACATGTTATCTGTCTTTACATTATTTGCATTCGTACTAATGTCATCATGTCATTGTTGTTGTTATCACAGCGTTTCGTTCGTTTTCTCCGGGCTTCTTCAGGTGTCTGTCAATCCAGGTAGCCGTCAGGGAATTTCGAATTAAAACATTTATTTAACCTACGGGAGTAAATTGTTCTCGTTCCACTGCCCGCGTCTATTTTCTTTTCTTAGACATGGACACGGGAACAAGAAAGAAGACTAAAGTGTTCGACTCAAAATTCCTTGATAGTTACTCGAATCGACAGAGATCTGAAGATGTCAGGCGGACACAGCGGCCATGATAATATTTTTCTTCTTTTTTTATTTTCTCTGATTTTATGAAATACTTCCTGGTATATATATATATATATATATATATATATATATATATATATATATATATAACGATTATTTCTATTTCTTTTGTGGAATCGTCATTTTAATTGAAACAAAAACGTAAAAACAACCAAATTAAAATCAAATTCGCATGAAAAAATACATAGGATAACAATCTTTAAGAATGGTACTTTTATTTTTATATAATTTTATATACGGAAAAATGCAGAAAAGTTTCCAACACGACCCACAAATTTTAACCAAATGAACAAACATATATATATATATATATATAATAAAAAGAAAGAACAGTAAGATATATAATCCGGTGTTCTTATTGATATTTTTATTTTTACAAAACAGTGCTCAATGTAAATTTACAGAGCATAAATATTATAAATTAACTGAATTAAAATATATAATTTGCTCGTAGATGAAACAGAACTAATGCTTTTAATTTAATTATATAATTAAATTTGAAGTTTTTAGGTTCGGTTTTTGAGACTTCGTAATTCCTGTGTAGCGAAGAAACCATATTTTAAACCAGTTAATTTATAATATATATATATATATATATATATATATATATATATAATTTGACAAGCATCTTATTCGGTTGCCAAATGTTCAACACCCACGCGTTACATCTAAAGTTATGCTTTAACATTTTTAATTTACTGTAACATTTTTATAACCACCAAGTGTATTTCTCCATCGCATTAATTTAATTTCCATAAATGTTTACAGATAATATGGAGGTACAGAATCGCATTTCTCGTACACTTTATGTGTCTGGTATATTTGGATAGATGATGTTATTTATTAAATATTAATATACCAAAGCATTCTAGAAGCTTTCAAAATGTACTTTGAATTGTTACATTAAATTTCATTTGGTCTAATTCTTTCTTATTTTAATTTTCTATTGTTACATAGTAATATTTATTATCAACTTATAATCTTGTTCAACAGAACTTACATCTCCATTGCAGAGAACTCATTACGCCATGCTAACTTCAGATTTTTTGTGTTCTTTAAATTTTTATTTTGTCATTCTTACGATAGGAATGGTTGCTGCTATTGGAATTTCCAACCTTAGGAGTGTCTCTCTGGATTCTTCCCGGAACCTCTTTGTAATTGGAACTGCTCTCCTTCTCGGCTTGGCTTTACCATTTTGGATACAAAAAAATCCTAGAATTATAAATACCGGTAAGTCAGGAAATGCATTTGAATTTTAATTGATTTTAATTTCCTAATCATTCGAAGAATTATTGATATATCCATTTTTCAAAAGAAGTAATAACTATAAGAAGATAGAATTGTTGTCAAAGCATCTCGACTTCATGGTATCCCTACGATAGTTCTTAAGAAATGTGCTGCTAAATTGGATTCTGTTTTCTCTAAACTCTACAGTAAAATAAATGCATCGCCGTTTCATCGTTTCCTGCTTGCTGGAAATCTTCTTCTGTAGTTCCAGTCTTTAAGAATTCAGACGGACTATCCGATCCTTCTAACTCTCGGCTTATCAGCCTTCTACCTCTTTTGTCGAAAAACTAGAGGTTCTAATCAATTCTGGATTCGTTAAGCATCTCATCTCGCAGGGATTTATTTCAAACAAGTAATATGGCGTTCACTTCACTATGTCAACTTCTGATGCGTTAACGGTTATTGCTAAAAAGTATATCAAGAACAATGAAGCACGAACGGTTGCTTTGGATATCTCGAAGGCAATGAACAGAGTTTGGAATGCTGATCTTATTCACAATTTGAAATGATATGGTATTTTCTCGGCGAATTCTTGATCTGATTCAATGTTATCAAAACGCGAAATGAAAGTTATCCAGTGCGGCCACTCTTCTAGATCTTTTTTGCATTAATGCGGGTGTCTACCATAGCTCTATCCTTGGACCAATGTTATTCCTAATTTTCAACCTGTCATTTTCAAATGTCATCAGTTATCAACTTGATATCTATAATGGTGACATAGATATTTATCCCAGTCTTGACAGTAAGTCTCATCGATTCGATAAGGTCAGATTGGCAGCTGATCTAAAAAAAAAAAAATATCTACGATCTGTTGTTAACTGGTACAAGAAATGTCCTGTTAATTTTAACGCTTCCAAAACAAAACTGTTCTCTTTTAATCGTCTGAGAGAACATTTCGTGCCTTCCATCTCCGTGGCTAATGATAACCTCAAGGAGAGGGACTCATTGCGCTTTCTCGTGGTAGCGTTTTCTCCTGAAATTAAGTAGTAAGATTATATTGATTGAATTTCTAGGTTTGCTGCTAGAAAAGTTGGTTCACTGTGTTGTGCTAGACAATTTCTCTCGCCAGAATCCATCTTATATATATATATATATATATATATATATATATATATATATATATATATATATATATATATATAACTTTATCATTCATCCAGGCATTGAACATTGCTATCACATCTGATCTGATTTGTTGTTTTTTGCTACCTTATTTAGAGATTCTTGATAAAATTCAAAGAAAAATCTTCGATTTCATTTGCCATGACATAACATCTCGGGCTCAGTCACTTTCCTGTCGCCATAACGTAGCTGTCCTCTGCCTTTTCTATAAATAATTTCATGGTAATTATTCTGATGAGCTTTCTTCTTTAGTATATAAATTTATTAAGTTAAGCACAGTACTAAATTAGCGACAAGTTCTCATCATTTTACTGTTGAAATTTAATTGTAAGCTTCCATTCTAATAGTTTCTTCTTTCAAACTTTACGTTTGTGGAACTCTCTTCCGGTTTATTTCCATTCCAGACAACTTTAATCGTTATCTTCTGTCTTCTTCACTTCTATTCTTTTATTGTACTCTATACTTAATAATATTTTCTTTTTCTTATGCTTACGTTTTAATGGCTATATTAATGGCTATATAACTCCTTACGTTTTAATGGCTATATCAATGGCTATATAACTCCTTACGTTTTAATGGCTATATCAATGGCTATATAGCTAATGGATATATTACTTTGCTTGGGGTAAAATGATTTGAAAAAATAATGCTTTTTATCAACAGAAAAAAGTCTACCAGAGATATGAACCGCTTACTAAGGATTTTAAAACAAACAGAAACAGAAATCAAATGACGAGAAACTAAGTTTTAAGCGGAAACAAAGTGCTGAATTGCTATGTATTATCTGATCTCCTATATATCAGTGAATGCTGAACAATCCCCTCACAAAATGGGAGACTTGAAACAACATATGTAGTTCTACTAATGATTGCTGAAAATAACATTAACTGAGCATGTGAGCAATGAAGAAGTTTTATGGAAAATAGGGATAATAAGAACACTTATATTTACAATCAGAGACACTTTCTTGGACACATAATGATGAAAGAGTGTCTAGAGTATTTAACACTGACACTGCAAACTAAAAGCAAGAGACGCAAAGGAAACAGCGAGTTACCTATCTCACTAATGTGTGCGAATTAATGGTAAAACAGGAACAAAGAGGGACGGTAAAGAGTCAGAAGCTACTTAGAGTAACAAAAGACAGTGTAAGATGCGCAGTCATGATAGGTAACAACCTGAAGAGATAATACAGATCTAGGAAGAAAGAATAGAACAAAGGAAACATAACATTTATGGAGATTATAGCAACGACCGTAGAGTGGCGTCGTCAAAAATCCTATTTCCTCATACTTGATACTGGTATTTTGGTAAATCCTTACTACTCTTAGGTTTTCTTTTTATCCCACCAGTCTGTGAATGTCTTTGTTGGACATGAGCCTTCCACAGTTACATGGGGAGAAATGGGTTTTTACTCTACCGCGCTGGTGACATTGTCTTTTTTCATTTACCCAAGGGTATTTGCGTAAGTGAATGTAACGAACACGAGTACCTACCAGATTGATTATTAGTGGTATTTCTATTTTGAAGACTTGCAGATTTACATCTTCCTTCTCATCTATATTTAATATGTTGTCCCTACATTTGTTAAATTTCAGATTTCTGTCTTTCAGTACAAGCAATTGCTTTATTAACTATGCGCTGCGAGTTAAGTGTATTTCAAGCCATTCACATTTCTCATAGTTCCGCTGACCTTTCCAAGTTCATTATACCTTTTTCGTAGATTTGATCCTAGCTATAGACAACCGGACGCCTAGCCACACTGATGAGCTGTGATACAGCGAAACAGTCCGTCTGTGAATGACTATATATATATATATATATATATATATATATATATATACACACACACACACACACATATATATATATACACGCACACACACACATATATATATATATACACACACACACATATATATATATATATACACACACACACACACATATATATATATATACACGCACACACACACACATATATATATATACACACACACACACACATATATATATATATATATATATATATATATAGAGAGAGAGAGAGAGAGAGCATGCATATGGTCTGGGCAGTATAGGACCTGCATATACCATCACCCAAGCCTACGCCACCAGTTTTTCACTGCATACTATTTTACTCTTGGTTTTGTATTCATGAATGAGAGAAAAATTATAAAACTCACTTATTAATCCTTAATATTTTCTTCACAAATAAGAAACTGTCGCGTTTGTTCAACTCATTATCAATACAAAATGACTGAAAGTGATTTCTATAGTTTCTGTTTGTTATTCAATTTATTTATTTTAGGAAGTTCCGAATTTGACCAGATCCTTAGCGTGATGCTAGGAACAAACATGTTTGTTGGAGGATGTTTGGGTCTTTTCCTTGATAACACGCTGCCAGGTACAGTATTAATCATATTGTCAAATAATTCAACTTCTCAGAACTGAGGATATATTTCATGTATAAGACGCATTATATTACCAAAAGACGAGGGTCTGAATTTGCTCTGCGACTTATTTACCATAGATAATAAAAATCGGTATCTCCAGTCTTCTATGGCAAGGTTTTGAAGCTGATTTTATCATTCTAATTATCTATTATCCTAATAGTTTAATAATTGATTAGAACACGAACAGCTGTTTTTTTTTATATTCAGAATGCTGAATGCGCATAGGAATAGAGAAAGATACATTTCATAAAGAAAGTAAAGTGCAAAATCATAGGAGAATGTGCTTAGAAAAGAAAAAAGTGATGAATTTCTATGTAATATCTCATCTCTTATATGACAGAGACAATTTCCTCACAGATGCAGAAGAGACTTAAAGCGACATTGATTCTGTTCTTCCGATGAATGCTAAAGATACCATGGACAGAACCATGAGATCAAAATGGGGTGCTTAGGGAAAACAGAAACTAAAAGGACACAAAAATGTAAATGGAAACTATTTGAGAACTAAATGGAAGCTAAAAGGAAAATGGGAACAAAAAGAACTCTACAAAATACATAGGATTAAAAGAAAACTAGAAAGAAAATGTGAACTAAAAGGAACATGTGAACTAAAATGGCATTTATACTTGAAATGAGGAACGTGAAAATTCATGAGAACATAATGAGCAAAGAGGAACTAGAAAAATTTAACACTCACCTGACATAAAAAACTAAATGATTCAACAGGCACATATTGAAACAATTGCTAAGTTAAAACATGTGTTCCATATGAGTTGTTAGGTTTGTATAAATGTTTCATATGTTATGATATAATATATGATATTAAATCCCCAAGATTTCAAGAGTTGAATCGAACAAAGTATTTTTACGATTTTCGATTCTCTAAATATCTTCGTAAGGGTTTATAGAACTGTTTGAAATGCGTTCATAAAGATACATGCAGTCATCATTGTGACACTGACTGGGGCACACCACGTAGACGAGGGAAATGTAATTTTATCTTGATTTCAATTTTTTCTGTTTTATAAGCAATAGTTTAATTTTTTGAAGCGGTATTCACTTGCCGAAGAAGAAGAAAACGAATAAATGAAAGAAATCAATTAAGTTAAAGCAACAACAAACCAGACATTGATTATCTCTGGTTGCTGATGTATATTAACAGTCATACTTGGAATTGAATGAAGCCAGTTCTGGCCCGCCGTTGGCAGAGGACAGATTGTCCTTCGCGTAGCTCAGATCCCATCCATTTTACTCTATGGTCCACCGGACCAACTAAATGAAATATCTGGTAAGTTTTCTTTCTTGTTTCTTCTACTAGATCCAGTTTTTTTTTTACCTAGATTAGGTGATCCGCTAGAAATCACAAAATCTCAGTGAATTGTGTGTCCTTCATTAGCGGGGAGAGTTTCTGCATATGTCATAGGTCTGAATGTTCGAAACGCAGTTGCTTGAACAGTTCCCAGTTGATCATCTTCTATACCCAATCATGCATAGACTTGTATTAATCCAAGGCGAATTTTTTACATTCGCATATTGGCTTATATTTATTTCCTCAAAATCTACATTTACTTATTTCATGTGTTTTATCTTCAACCAGTTTTTCTATATCTGGTTCTTCTCGCAATGTTTTAAATTGATTTTAAGAGTGACTCAATTTCTCTAGATTTTCCTGGCATAGCCCAGTCCATATTATTATATCATCGTCTTTTTAATTTTTTTTTTATATTAGGTACAGATGAAGAACGAGGAATGTCATACTGGAAGAGAATGCGTGAACAAACGTCTTCGGATAAAAGCCAAGAAATGAAAATATACAACTTACCTGCTTGTTTCCAGCGTCAAATAGACAAGGTCCATTGTTTTACCTTTCTTCCTTTCTGTCCCGGCTACAATTCTTACTTTTCCCGCGCCATAAAACGCATCTGCAAATGCTGCACGACAAATAAAGATGCTGAACGAAAATATACTGTGAACGAAAATAATGGAAATGAAGTTTTGTAGGGCAATTTAAAAAAAAATTTCAGCTGAGAGAAGTTAGTTAGAAATAATTCTTCTTCTTCATGTGCTGTGTCTCCTCAGGATGTGTGCGTTCATGGCTCTTTGCAATTTCCTGTTCTTTGTAGCTCTTAATAAATTTTGTCTTTTTGTTATTTCTCTCAAACCATTTCTCCCCCGCCCCCATCCATCTACTTAAGCTCACTAAGTATGTTATGCCTAGTTTTCCTCTGTCGCTCTTGCCTTCATTCTTTCCTGTGAGTGTTGGATTTTCCAACCCATCTTTCCTCAGTAGGTGTCCTAAAAATGTCAGCTCTCTCTTCCTGATGTCAAGTATAAGCTTCCTTTTTTCTATTTTAGAAATAAGATCGTCTATAAAAATATATGGAGAAGACAAAGGTGCTTCAGTTGGTAATATAATATGGATATAATAGGAGTTTATTTGTTCATAAATATATATATAACGAAAATAATGGAAATGCAAATTTCGAGGGAGATTTATGAAACGTTCATCTGAAAGATGATTAAATGAATGAGAAATACATCGAGAAGAGGAAAATGCCTTAATTGGTAATATAATATGAATTTTATACCAGTTTACACGAGTCCATCTCTTATTTCTTACATCTTTACTTCTCCCCCTTTTTTTTCTCTTTATATCATTTCCGGTGAGTTGACCTATTAAATAGGTCAATGTCTGATCCTTACCCCACCTTCAATATTAAGTATTGTAATAGAAATAAAAAATAAATTTAAAAGCATTCCTGTCTCTCCCTTCCCTCTCTAATTTCGGCCATGTTTGTCACACTATCTCTCACCACTCTCTATATCACCTTACATACTGCTCTTCAAAAGTTTAAATTCATTTTTCATCCTTGGAAGTGAGGTCTGACGATCCAGGAAAAAAGAAAGTCTCTGGTGAAATAAATCATAACAATGAAACCTTAAACTGGTCTGCTTTTCTTTAAATTACATTTATATATATATATATATATATATATATACCCTTGTGCAAATTAATTGAAACAAAATGAATAATTTCGTTATTATATACTTTTCTCGTATTTTTTCAATGACACATAACCCAGTGCATATGTCAGTACTTTGTATGTCCATTCCTCGAAGTCGTTCTTTGTAGATTGACAAAAGATTCTCGATTGCATTTAAATCAGGAGAGTTTCCGGGCAAGCCTGTAGTACTTTTATTTGCTCACTGGTAAGGCGTGCCAGTGTGTTCTTGAGGCGTTACAATATTCACACGCTTCCTTAGAGTAACGCTCATCAGAAGCAATGGCCGAGACAACAGTCGAGATAATAGTATCTGGACGTGATAAAAATCTGATGCAATCACGGATGACGCAATATTTTTCAAGGTCAAACAAATTTCATCATATACCTCGAAAATAGATTCATATTACTGCACACCACTACAAATGATCTAATCTGAAGAAAAAATAGAAATGGATTACACCTTGTGGCTCTAAAACTGATCGTATGTTGAAAGAAAGGAAACTAAAGCATTTGTTTCAATTAATTTGCACAAGGGTGTATACGTTTTAAAATTAGGATATATAATTTCAACAAAGTTTTTTTTCAATTTTTGAAAATTGAAAACGTTCATGAAGGTAGATTCATTGAGAAATATATCCGATACAGCTATGTAATATCAATCTTCTTGTATGGCAGTGAATGATCAACAATTTCTTCACAAATGAAGTGGAGACTTGGAGCAAGAGAAACAGGTGTGACGTCACCCCGGCCTCTCTGCCCCCGTTGCCGTCCTGTGACGACCAATGTGACTTGGTATTGGTCGCGGCGCCAATTGTGACGTGATCCTGTTGTCACGGCACCAAATGTGACGTTCTAACCCTTGGCTGATTCGGATGGGAATCTGGTTAGATTCGGTATCAGCTTTGTCGTTCCCAGCTCGCCTCCAACGTCTGGTTACCGAAGTAACTACTTTGATTTCTAGTCTAACCTACCCACGTTGTGATTTGATCTTAGGTAGACGAAATCAGTCAGTCGCCGGGCCGTAATGCGTGCCGAATTCGAGCAAAGATGACATCGCACAAGTATATGTTAGGCATTTTCATGACGGTCGTCCTCGGGTATAGAATCCAGAGGTTGGCAGTGAATATTTCGGAGACAGTAGGAAAGCGTACTTTAGGTTCGCAGTGGATATCGCAGCAGAGCGTAGTTCTTCCGTCTGTCATGTTCACCTCACAAGTTGGCTCTGGTCATTCCGGTAGGTTAAACAAAGATGGCCGCCTTTATAAACGACGGATACAATGTTCTGCGGCTTCTGATTGGTCAACCTTCTATTGGTAGACTATAAAGAGAATTAAGTCATTTTGACTAACTACCTAGTCATATATATAGTATATACAGAAAAAAAACCGTAACACCCCCCTTATTTTGGGTATATTATGGAATCTTCCTTCAAAATGTTAGTAAAGTCGATAATTCAAAAAAATTTTTTTTTTAATTTTTCTTTTTTTTTAAAGTTAATATTAATATGTAACAAATACTTTAGTATTCCAAATTTTTATTATTTTTTTTATATTATTTTTTTCTTTTTCTTGAAAATTAATATCCACAAAAATTAGTCATATCACTTTGTTCACAGTTAAGTACTTCGGGTTAATAAAACATGAATAACAATATTATAAGTTTAGATTGCGATCACAACAAAAAGTGGAAAGAATTGTTACTTTACCAATAGCTGGGATCCATTAAAACAGTTACTATCACTCCGGGTCAGAGAGTCACTAAAAAGTGAATTGGGCTAAAAGTAGGACCATTTACATTTATACCCCGAAACTAAGGACTTTCATTCATACCAAAAACTGAACTGACGTTTCTTAGGACAGTAACTAATGGATGCAGTTTTACGTCCTACCCAGGACCTTATAGGGACTTAATGGATGCAGTTTTACGTCTTGCCCAGGACCAATAAGGACCCAAGAAGTCAGCACCAAATATTGCAGAAGCAAAAAGCCCGTAGTTTCAATTTCGTAATTGCTTTTTTTCACAAATAAATCCGCCATATTATTTCCCGATTGAACGTATTCAATTTATACTGTTTTCTTTTCTACTTGATCCCTAACAAAACTAATATTTTATATTGATATGCTTTGATCTTTGATGTAATATTGAATTTCTAGCCAAAGCAATATTGCCCTGATTGCCGAGTAAATAATTATTGGCTCAGTTATTGCCAGTGTTGTAATTGCTTTTATTAGCAATTTAAGAAAAATAGCCTCTTGTGTCTTTTTTAACAATGCAATATATCCAGCTTCACAAGTAAAAAAGTGAAATCTTTCGCTGTTTCTTCGATTTCCAGCTGATTATTGGGTTACCATCTGCTAGCTTAAAGCAATAGCCTGTTATACTCTTACGGTCTGGTGAGTTGGCCCAATCAGCATCGTAAAATCCTTCCAATTTTAATTGGATTGTCAAAATACTAGGCATCGACTTTTAGTCCACTTCAGATAACGTAATACTTGCTTAAAATTGTTAAATGTACAGTCCCCGGTTTACTTAAGTTTTGGGACAACTTAGTAACCGTATAGCCTGGTTGATGTCATCATGCAATTAAGACTTCTGACCAATGTTCTGTGTTCATTCTCACACGCCGCTATACCATCTTCCTTCTTCATAATTATGTTTAAATCCATTTCACATAGAATAATTCTTATTTTATAATTTTGCATGTTAAATTTCGATAAAAGCCTTTCCATGTATCTCGATTAATTCCTTGAAATATTGTTGCCTTTAAATTCTAACTGTATACCAAGAAAACAGGATAGTCAACCCAAATTGATCATTTTAAACCTCATTTCTAGAGAACTCTTGATTTTTAATAGAGCGGTCTCACTCTTTGATGCAATTAACATATTTTCGACCCAAATAACCAGAATTACTAATATTTCATTATTTAAATGTCTTCGTGTACAGACATTGGTCAACTTGGGGAGATTGAAATTATTGTCTAATTAAATAACAATGGATTAAATTATTCCATGTTCTTCCACTCAGTTTGAGTCTAAATAGTGACTTCTTTTTTTTTTAAGTTCCATACATAATTATCACCTTTCTTCAAAACCTTCTGGCGGTTCCATATATATTTCATAGTCGATGGTAGCATTCCGAAATAAGCTCCTTTAACATCCATATGGTGTACATCCTTACCATAATGGGCATCCATTTGCATCAAAACTCTAATTAAGACTTAATGTTTCTACATAAGTCCTCTCCCCCTTTCTTATAATCTACCCCATATATCTATGAAAATTCGTTAGCTACAAAAACGAGCCTTGTAGACTGGCGATCTATCCTCAGTTCGCTTTACAGTGTAAACCCAACGGCTGCCGATGATATTTCTATCATCAATTAAGACTTAAGATTTCTACATAAGTCGTCCCCGCCCTTATATCTATGAAAATCCGTTAGCTATAAAACAAACCTTGTAGACTGGCGATCCATTCTCAGTTCGCATTACAGTACGGCTGCCGATGATATTTCTATCATCCGGGGCGTTTTGATTCAAAAAGTGTCCCTTAATACTAAAGATTTAATTTCTTTTTTCTTTTATTTTTGGATTAAATTTCTTCGTTTTTCTTTTATTTTTGGCATGGCCGCTATGGTATTGACAAAAACGTATGGCTTCTTGGTAGTTCTCCGAGACACACTGCACCGCATAACAACAGTTAATATTACATTGATTCATTTCAAAATAGTCTGGCTTTTTTTCCATTTTTGTCGGATAACGCGGAATTTGCACCTGATTTTTCTCGTATACATCATTTGGTATAATACCTTCCTCTGATTGTGGACTCTGAACGGGTTTTCTACTTATAGGCCCATAATTAGGCCATACTAATTCGGGTTGGACTAGTTCCTCGCAATTAATATTCTTTTCTTTTTTTTTTTTTCTTTTTTTTTTTCGGGTTCCTCCCCTCGCTCAAAGGAATCTGTAAATCTGACGCATCTTATCTTCCTCATCGT